TTCGGCTTCACTCCCTTTAGACCACAAGCTGCTGTACAATCGTAACAATGACTTTAACTTTTCTGACACAAACACACATACAGTCTTCAGTATCACCTTTTACTCTTTTTGGTTTAGATGGTATGTTTCATGTGGCTAGATTGAAAGCACCACTAAAATGACAAAGAGTCATGCTTTTTACAGTTAAAAATCATCCATAAAGGTGTGCCCTATAGCTTACCTGGTAGAGCTGGTGACCCATGTACCAAGGCTGAGGTCTTACTGCAGCGGCCATGGGTTCAAATTCAACCTGTGGCCCTTTGCTGCGTGCCATCCCCGCTCTCCACCCACATTTCCTGCCAAACATGGCGATTCAACATTGTTTGTAGATATAATGTTACCCTGTAGATATATCTTTTATGGAGTCTGCCATGAGGGTGAGAGAAGAGTGTTGTAATCTGCAACTTACCGCTATGCCATGCATTCCTACACTCTAGTCCTTTAAGTTGTTTTCAAATGCATTTTTTTTTTCAGCATTGAAAGGAAGACACACATAACTCATTAGTAATGCTCCTTAAGTCCCCAAGCCTCTGAGTGGACTGGCACTGTGCCCATGTTTAATCCCAAAATACAAAATATATATTTCTTCATTTGGGGAATAGATTTTTTGAGGAAAAGAAAGCACAGGACCAAGCTGTGTCTGCTGTAGCAAAAAAAACGTGCAATTTTATTTCAGCTTGACTGCATATATGCCTGTAAAAGTTTATTACTGTTTGTACTTGTGACAACCAATTGGCACTGGTCTTTAACTGTCTGTTAAAATAGTTCTCAAACTAATAGTTTGACTGATGTTTGACGGACAAGAAATTATTTCTGTATCCCCAGTTGACATGATCAGCGCTACAGTTGATGGATAAAATATTGTGTCCTTAGAAAATGGGTAAGAAATATCCAAAGATTGTAGCATTGGTGATGATGTATCTTTAAAAAAATCTACAGAAACCCATGTGTCCTTCTGAGAGAGTGGAAAGGCTAATACAAAAACACATAAAGTACAATGGTTTATTAATGCTCCCTGTGATTTGTTGTCAGCCAGGAGTTAATACCTCACAATGTTGTTTTGCATCTTTTCCCCATTATTTGTAGCCATTCTGGAAAGACTAAACATTGCCAGAGGCTGCAACATTCAGTGTATAATAAGATAGTAAAATGCTTTGCACAAGTAAGAGTCTCATATTTATTGAGCTGCATCTTGAATGTAAGTTTCTGATGTTAAAAATAAACCTTTTTTGGTAACACTTTATAATGAGTACACACTATTAAGCATTAGTTAAGCATGAATAAATAATGAATTCATCATTTATAACGCATGAATACACATTAGTATGTAGTTTATAAACACAGTTAAAAATGTTTTATTCATCATTGATAAGCACATTAGTTATGGATTAGTAAATTCTGAATTCATCATTTATAAAGCATGATTCTGCTGTAAATAGTCATTACTATGTGGTTTATAATCACAGTTATAAATATTTTACTCTTCATTGTACTGTACATTTCTGCATGCAGTGACTGTGTTAGCAGATGTTCTATAAAACTCACAACAAATTCATTTTCTAATGATGGCCTATAAACAGTTATTAATGCAGGAATTCACAGTTACAAAGCACTTACTACTCGTTAATTAAGTATTTTGCACAAGCTTATCTAAAGTGAGCACTATCTATGGCTTATTAAGCATTTACAAATGAGATATAAAGGCTGACAATGCCTCGAGACTCAGAAAATGTTCAGTTATCTTAACAGACGAAGAAGAGACACAACACAAAGGGTTATAGAACATATTGTATTGATATTTACTGCAACTTCCCAACATATTGTATGAAGACGAACAAGGGTGGTTTATGAAGACATGCTATTGTTGTGATCTTATCCCGCTCTCAGCACGTCATCAACGTGCTGAGAGCGGGAGGCGGGATGTTATGTCATATTTACGTTAACTCTCAGAAGTTCCTGACAGTGCAGCCAAGGGGAGCATGGAGAAGCACATTGGAGTCGGCGGCCGTCAATGAGTGCCTAGCAGCGGCAGGTCGGCTTAGCCAACGCGGGCGGGTCGGTAACGTTAGTAACGTTACTAACATTAGTAACGTTAGTAACGTGAGTCGGGGAGCGAGGGCAAACACCTGCAGCTGCTGACAAGCTAACGTTAGCTTTCAACCATAATGTGTGCTACCAAACAAAGACACATACTCACCACTAGAGCCGCTGACGGCCGCCGACTCCAATGTGCTTCTCCATGCTCCCCTTGGCTGCACTGTCAGAAACTTCTGAGAGTTAACGTAAATATGACGTAACATCCCGCTCTCAGCACGTCATCACGTTGATGACGTGCTGAGAGCGGGAGCTCAACGTGCACGTCCCAAACAGATAAGATCACAACAATAGCATGTCTTCATAAACCACCCTTGTTCGTCTTCATACAATATGTTGGGAAGTTGCAGTAAATATCAATACAATATGTTCTATATCCCTTTGTGTTGTTTCTCTCCTTCGTCTGTTAAGATAACTGAACATTTTGTGAGTCTTGAGGCATTGTCAGCCTTTATATCTCATTTGTAAATCCTTAATAAGCCATAGATAGTGCTCACTTTAGATAAGCTCGTGCAAAATACTTAATTAACGAGTAGTAAGTGCTTTGTAAATGTGAATTCATGCATTAATCACTGTTTATAGGCCATCATTAGAAAATGAATTTGTTGTGAGTTTTATAGAACATCTGCTAACACAGTCACTAATCATTAATACATGTCTGAATAGTGGATGTGCAAGTGCATGCAGAAATGTACAGTACAATGAAGAGTAAAACATTTATAACTGTGATTATAAACCACATAGTAATGACTATTTACAGCAGAATCATGCTTTATAAATGATGAATTCAGTATTTACTAATCCATAACTAATGTGCTTATCAATGATGAATAAAACATTTTTAACTGTGTTTATAAACTACATACTAATGTGTATTCATGCGTTATAAATGATGAATTCAGTATTTATTCATGCTTAACTAATGCTTAATAGTGTGTACTCATTATAAAGTGTTACCCAAACATGTAGGAATACAGATTTATACAGTTATATGTGGCTTCCAATCCTGTCATTATGGCAAGCATGGCCAAAGGCTTAGCTATGCATTGCTGATTCTGGTGTGTTGAAATGCTTTCTTCTCATCACCTGTGGTAAAGTTGTTCTTCACTGTAGTTTGATTGCCGTGTGATGGATTCTCATCCACAACATCGCATGTTCATGGTTCATTTTAGTCCTCTAATACATGAGAAACTCACTGATTAGGAGCTCTTTCTCTTAGAGGTTCTCTGAACACAGCAGAAGTCTGCCATGTCCCATTCTGTCAGGGATATGATATACAACTAATAAATAATGGACAAGCAGCAAATAATAGAATACCAGTATTACTGCATTTTAGAGCGCACAGTAGATTGATGATCCAGTGCTGTATGCATGCAACTACAGCCCCGAACGTGCCTGCAAGTAAGGCCTTTCACACCCAATTTTCTCAGTGCTCAACAGCAGAAGGGTGTTTGCGAGATGCAGTGTGCATAACTCCCAGAGGTGATTTGTGCAATTATGAATGTAAAGGAGGATGCTGGCAGATAAATGTAAGGGTGCTTTCAGTTTTAGTTTTGTTCTTTCGCTCTGTTCCTTTTCATTAAAAAATTAATTGTTTTGAAAAACTAATATGTCAATGTCAAATTAATAGTTATACCTTTGTCATAGCAGCTTTAATTAAATAAGATGATGGTCACAGCCAAGAACATTGGTTGTCTCTCTCTCATGCTGCTTTTATCATTAGTAAACTAACATTTTAGAATATTTCCTCCCACATTTGTTGTCTCCTGCTACAAGGAGAACATGGCTCCAAACTCCTGTATCACTAGGTATTTGCCGATTGGGAAGTTCTGGGCCGATACCAATACTGATGTTAAAAATAGCAAATTGGCCATTGCAGATGTTTTTCGTTGTTATTTAATCACTCGTTTGTGCCTGGGAAACAAAGACATTTATGACGATAAGCGTCTCTGCCTTGTTACAGCTCAGTCTCAGTCTTCTCATCCAAGAGGTGAGACGCAGAGCTGAACAGGCGCTCAGGGTCCGTGCTGCTTCATGGAGCACATATTTGCGTGCAATTTGTGCCAGTGCTGGAGAAACGAGATGATTATTTTTCCAATATCTGAGTTGGAAATTACCAACATTTAGCCGGCGCAAAGTTGATGCGACACAACAGATAAATGGACACTGATATTGGTGAATGCCATCTTATTGGCCGATTATGCGTTTTCCTCATTGCACGATTCATTTCACTTTCTGGCATATCATGGGTCCCCCGGAATACCTGGGTTTGATGATCATGAGCTATCAGTTTCGTCAGTTTTCAGAATATATTGTGTGTTGTTTTTGAAGACTGAATGTGAATGCACATTTAACAACCTATTGATGTACTGTAAAACAAAGTGCTACTGAGATTGTGTTAGTGCAGCACCATTGTTCCACTCATGAAGGTAAGCCCAGCATTGTGAAGAAATGTAAAACTTTAGAGCTGTTTGAACTAGTATAGTAAAACCTTGCTTCCTATTATCCACTCTAAAATGATGTCCCTATGTGCTGTAATTAAATATTACTTCATAGCATGAAGCATTACAGCAGCCATGAGGTTTTTTCTAAAAGGATATTTAGTGTTTACAAAATGATATTTTATAATGGATGTATTTCACCTGAACTGCACTTTCATTGATCGAGGGCAGTTGTTTGTAAATCAGAACTCCCATTTCAATACTATATATACATTTTAGGGGTAAGAAATCACAAGACCATCCCTGCAGAATTTAATAATAAATATCTCACTGGTTTTCTGTCTTTATTTTTAGTTGTGTCTGTATTCTCACCTTTCTGCGTCTCTGTTTATAAATGCTTTAATGTTTGCTTTTCTTTTCTTCTAGGTGATAAAGCTGTCATTTGAGGAGTTTGACCTGGAAAGAGGATATGACACACTAACTGTGGGAGATGGAGGGAAGATAGGAGACACTCGGAGGGTACTCTATGTGTAAGCACCACTTATATTTTCTGGCCTATAATATAGTAATATTGATATGTAATGGTATAGAACATAATGGTGGCAATCAGAGAAACAATTGGAGACATATGGATGCTGTCATGCAGGTACACATTATTGGATTGCATTATCAGTTTGTTAGTTTTGATGGAATGTTTGGTTCACTAAACTCTATGGGGTACAAGAGGAATATGTTTTTTATACAGAGCTTAACAACAATGCTGTACAGCAATAATAGATTATACATCTGTTATTTAAGCCGGTAATGCCTATCAATAGTTTCTTTCATGTATCGTGTATGTTTTTTTGTGTAGACTTACAGGCTCCAGTGTCCCTGACCTCATCGTTAGCTTGTCCAATCAGATGTGGCTACACCTGCAGTCAGACGATACAATTGGCTCCGCTGGGTTCAAGGCGGTCTATGAAGGTATGGCTTTCTTTATAATGAATACAACTGCTTTAAATGAAACTTTTCAGCCATGCTTTTCATTCTATCTCCTTTGTCTTTGTCTCTGAAACACACACACACACACACACACACACACACACACACACACACACACACACACACACACACACACACACACAAATAGACATAGCTTATATACACTCACATAATGGAGTGTGAAACTCATGGCGTTGCTGACGTGGGGATTCAGGAGTAAACACAACTGTTGTCTGTCCTTGTGTATACATGTGAGTGTGTGTGCGACTGTGCATTACAGGAAGGTAATAAATGAATTATGAGTCAATCAGTTGATCGTTTTGCTTGGTTATTTTTTCATATTATGCCAAAGCTGACACTGATATAGAGATAAAGATTGTGACAGTAACAGTGAGTGAAGGTGAGAGGGAGAAATATAGATGTTCCTCTAAATACTTTTTTGGAATAATCCATTTATATATTTGATTACATACAGTATTTTACCATGCAGCTCTTTAAATGGAAGTGAACTAAATTGAATTCACTTTAGACAAAGAGGTAAGACAGGTAGCGAGAGAGAGAGAGAGAGAGAGATAACTTGATAAACATAGAGACAGGGGAAGGGGGACAACAAGAAATTGACAGAGTGGGACAGAAGAAGAAAAAATGACAAATTGAGAGAGAAGAAATCAACTGAGGGAGTGTGAAAGGGCAAGAGAGAGAGAGAGAGAGTGAGATGGATGAAGGTTATGCTCTTGGTTCTGCTTAGCTATGTTTGATTCAATGATGTTGCTGACACTGTTGTCCAGGGTCAGTTACTGTTCAAGGGATTCAGCACAGTGTATCTACAGAAACTGTGAGTGTAAGCAACATGTAAACATCATGTTACAAAGTTTCTTCTCAATATGAGGCTAAGATGGTGCAGACCTAGATTTAACAATTAAAATGGTTTGTGTTTAATATTTGCCCTAACAGCAGTAAATGCCTTCTCCCTCTTAGTTTAAGGAGCCAGAAACACTCAGGTGACCCACCTTAGTTATCTGATATATATTACATTTTAAGACAACGAGAAATATGACAATATGAAATTAAGAAAAAAAGACTGGAAAAAAATGAGGAAAAAAACGGTGCTTAATGACCTCTAGAAGATCTTGTAGTTTTAGCTGTTCCCCAGGATAACTGAACAACCGCCTCTGGTGTGTTTTGTGTCTGTGCCCTTGCATGTATGTATGTGATGCTGTCACATTGTATAATGTCACTATGTTACCCGCTTTGATCAGTGTTACCCCCTGAGAGCGCTTAGGTTTTTGGCCCTGCAGGGAAAACCAGCACGTGTGTGTGTAGCTGTCTTGCCTTTTGAATGCTGTCATGTTACACTTGTTAATCAAACCAGCTCTGTGTTTATGTGTGTGCATGTGCATGTTTAAGAGTTTGTGTTAATATCATAAGCACACACACTGAAATGCTGCTGCCAAGTTTTCAGGCTAATGACAATTGGTTGTGAAAAGAGTAACGATGTAAATAATGTATTCATTTTTTAACTCATCAAAGGACTGCAAATTAGCATTAAATGTCTATAGGATTCTTCTCTAGAATTGACAGTATCAGTATGCACAAGTCGTGCATCTGGATACCATCCTGGTTGACTTATTGTAGATTTTAAACCTTTATTTTGACTCGACTTAGCTCAACCTCAAAATGCAAACAAAAAGCAAAGATTAATGTTGTGAAAAGAGTAGCTTGGTAGTATTTTACAGTACAGTATACTCCAGTTTTACACAAGCAGTTGGATAAAACACAAAAGAGTTTCGTAATGGTGTTTCAGAATCAACTCAATATGGCTCCCCACTCAGCTCAGCTTCAATTATGCATCTACTCCTTTTTTGACAGAAGCTACGTCAGGCTGCGCAGGACAGGTTGAGCTGGACAAGAGGTCCTACACAGGAATGGCATAGAGCATCGGGTTAAATTTCTAAATAAAACTCCCTGTGCAGACTCGTGAACGTATATCACATCAGACAAAAAACGAATCATTTAACTAGGTAGCCTACTGACCCATGGTAGGAGCACAAAATGTCATAGACACCATGCCTGGTGGAATAAAGGCAGACCATATACATCTAAACATGTATGCTATATGCTTGGGGAAATGGTTGTAGTTAATGGGCTAAAACAAACTAGAACCACAAGAAAGGCCCCTTAAATATCCATCAGTGTATTTATTTTCTTTCTTTTGCTTAGTAACATTTGATCATATTTATTTTCTGTATGTTTTGTTGTATTTTATCTACATTCTGCACTTGAGTAAAACTATTAAAAAGTTACAAAAAAAGAAAGTGACAAAAATAAGAAAGAGAAAGAAAAAGAACAAACTAAAAAAAGGCTAAGAATGAGTGAGAGAGGGAGTTACCACCATAATGACAGACTTACCAGGGGCTCAGGATCGCTGATATCCATCCTGACACTCGTCAGCTGTGTGACAGCTAGCTGTGGGCCACACACACACACACACACACACACACACACACACACACAGACACGCAAGCCTGCCACTTGTTTGAGTATTCTATTCTTGTGGGGCGCACTTCTATCCCAACAGATAGTAAAAGTGTAGAAGACATACACACATACATTGCTCACCTTGAGATGTATTTGCCCAAAGCGATTCCAGGAGCATAGTAGAGCATGTGTTACAAGATGACAGACGTCTGGTAGAATGTCAAATTTTAAAGAAGGCGAGTGAGGGAAGAGCAGTGGATAAAAACAAACTGCCATTAAGGGAAGAAGGGATAAAAAAAATGAATGACAAAATGAATGGAATATGATTGCAGGCCAGTTTGGCAGTACTGCTAATGTGACACTCATGCCAATAAAGCACAGTGTATTGAATCAGATTGAGAGAGCAGGAGCGATACGAAAAAAAAAAGAGCACAGTGGGAGAGAAGGACAGAGACGATCTGAAAGGAGGACAGAAACAAATAGATTAAGATAAAGACATCAGAGAAACGACACGTGTGTCTGAAAATGTGTGTATGGGAAGCAGTTGTATTTTGTACAATGTTTCAAACATCAGTGTTGCTGTCTTTTATTTTAACCTCCTGCTGGCTCCTTAACACAAGCGTACACATGGATCAGTGTGTGTTTGCTACCTGTGTGCCTCCACTTATTGTTTTGCCTTTCACAATTAAAGCTGAATTACACTGCAATTACCCTGATGGCAATTAACTGTGAGAAGGGAAAAAATAAAAGGAATTTCTCATGGGTTATATTTAATTTCCTAGCACAGCCATGTAAAATATAGACATTGTTTTTGGTGCTCTACACAGTCATATCAACATTGCTGCTAGTCCTCCTTTTAGGATTTGTCAGTTCTAACCATTTGTCAACCAGTTGGATAAACCATCTGTCTATCCCCATCTATCACAGGCAAACTTCAACCGATCAGATCAACACACCATATAACATTGTCAAACTCTTACCGTCGGGAGAAGAGTAAAAATATCTTTTCCATTGATAAAAGCCTTCAGTGCTGTTCTTTGCTCTTCTTTCAATGGAGAAATTCTGATATAACTGAAGCTGGCAGCATCTACACTAACCTCTTCAGTAGTCACCATTGTTGTTTTAGAGCAAACAGTCACTTCTCACACACGTCGTCACACAAATCTAGTGTAAAACTACGCCCATAGTTCATGCTGTAGTTGCCAGTGGTTCCTCATAGGAGACGTTGTGATTTGGGCCCAAGCTGTGTCCAGAGTCCAGCTGCCTAGGTTAAAAGAAAGTAGCTATTGCATACATTTTAAGTATGGCTCCTCTATTCTGCTATTGGGTCATATTGGGCCCCAGCAGAGTGGAAGGTCTAGAGAGCCTTGGGAAGGGTCTGTTTGCCACCTGCAGACTCATTCAAATATACACCCACATTAATCAGCCATAACTGCCCTACATACGGTAGCCTATGTCTTTGACCGGCTATGTTTTGTCGATTCCACAAGTTCTGTGACATAAAGAGTGATGTAGCACACATCTATAGCACATACATCAATATCAGGTATCCAAAATGTTGTTTCACATACCGAATGTTCAGATTTTATTATCTGAAAATCAATGTATGCATGTAATTGCCATTTAACCCCACCTCACAAACAACGGACAACCCCTTATCTGAATGTCACCATGTCACATGTTGACATTAATTATCAGAATAAAAACATTGTCTGTGTCGTGTGTGTTACAGAGATTGAACGAGGAGGCTGTGGTGATCCCGGGGTGCCGGCATTTGGTCGGCGTAGTGGTGATCGCTTTCAACATGGTGACGTGTTGACCTTCTTTTGCCAGTCGGCCTTTGAGCTAGTGGGAGAGAGAACTATCACATGCCAGCACAACAACCAGTGGTCAGGCAATAAACCCAGTTGTGTCTGTGAGTACACATATTTTTGTTGTAGGTGTTTGTGTTATCTTTTTTCTCTTACTTTGTGATATATCTTTCTATCTGTCTGTGCCTTTCATTTTTGCCCAATTACTGATCAACTTATTCTTTTTTCCTTCTTGCCTTTCTTCCTTTGTTCCTTCCTGTTTGTAGTCTCATGTTTCTTCAACTTCACGGCTCCATCAGGGACTATATTGTCTCCAAACTACCCAGAGGAGTATGGGAATAACCTGAACTGTGTGTGGTTGATTATCTCGGAACCGGGGAGCCGCATTCATCTCCTATTCTCTGACTTTGACCTGGAGCCACAGTTTGACTGGTTGGTGGTCAAAGATGAAGGTAATTATATTTTAATATTTCACCATAATTGTGAAAAGTTAACTAAATTAAATTAAGACCTCGGGATATGGATATGCAAATCCTTTATTGCTTAAAAGTGGATGGGCATGTGTATACTACGGAGCCCCCCTGGTGACACTGGATAAAAAAAAAATAATGCGTGGCCACACATTACTGTCTCGTGGCCACGATATAGTTAATGCGTGGCCACGAGATAGTAACACATGGGCACGAGATAATTATTGCAGTCATTTCCATGCAGAGACTGTTGATTGTTAACATGGACAAGTTTGCATTAATTTCATTTTATTTTAATATAGGAATGAATTACAATGACATACTTCAGTCACTTGCGGTTATGCATGGAGTTATTCTTAGCAAGAGACACTTAATTCAGCTGCTCAAAATGCATGGACTTAAACGCAAGGAATATGCTGATGTAACTAAAATGTAACTAACATGTAAATGTAACTAACTAATAATCAAGATAGTTATTGCGTGGCCACAAGATAGTTATTGCGTGGCCACTCATCTTTTTTTTTTTTTATCCAACGTCACCAGGGGGGCTCCGTAGTATACAACTTAAAAATAGTAAAATAATTTGGGAGTCCAGTCAAGTTCCAATCGCTGTTCCTCATTGTAATAAAGGTTATTGATTTGAACTGAATCGAGTAAAGCCCTGGTTTAACTAGTCATTAAAAATGAAGTAGTGTGTAATTGACTGGTTGTAAACCTGTCTTTCTGCAGGGATGTTATTTTATAGCAGCGTTTTGAAAAAAGTTGCTGGGCAATTAGTGCTGTTACACTGGGCAAACTGAAATTAAAGTTGTTGCTTCAAAGTCTAACAGTTTGTAAAACATTTCGATACTTATTAACAACGGTTTTGTAGCTTTGCTGACAATGTGGTGATCTACAGTCAACTATTATGCCTTTAAAAAATGCATACATTCAACAACAAAAAAAAAGTCCAAAGAGAGGCTGTAGTCCAGGAAGAAAATAATTCTGCATACCAATGCAATAAGATTCTGCATTAGAAAAACCCAAATGCACCAAGGATTTTATGTGACATTGAGACTCATGACTTTCTCTTCTTTTTTATTCGTGGATAATAGAACATTGAAATACAAATAAATGACAAGCAAAAGTGAACAGAGCATCCACAGTAATAAACCATAAATCTCCTGAGCTTGGAAACGGTAGCATGAAATCCAGCTTAAAAAATCGAATAAAGCTGCATACAAGGTACGCTTTTGAACATCAAGTACAGTAAATGGTTAACATAATCAGAAAGCCATTGTTGCCATCTAATATAAGAGAACATAGCGATAGATAGTTACAAAAGGCTTTTGTCTAAATCTCTTCTCTTAGATAAGATAACGTAGGACTTTGTCACTCTTTCGACTATTGTCACGTTCATTCTCTCCCCACTCCTGGTCTCTTGACTATCAATGCAATAATGACCAAGTGAAAGAGCTTTTGGAGTGCTGAAGAACAAAGAGACTGCCTCTTTATAACTCAGTCGCTGTGTAGCTTAACTGTGTCTAAGTGCATGGGATCCAAAACTACAAGTCAAGGAGAAAATAAAAAGAAAACTTTCTGTGGGAGTGCTGGTGAAGAATCCCCATTTCAGATTAGTTTTATTACTGAAGTGTTCTCAAAGCTCCTGTTCTGTCACTTACAGGGTTGTCAAACACACTGCTTTCATTGCACCTTTTGTAGTTGGTTTCAAAAGAGGATTTTGAATATTATTTTCAATTAAGTGTGTGTACTTAACAGTGTAATCAAAAACATGCTGCAGTGGATGATACTGGTTGCTCTCTATTATGTTCAAAGGACTGGATGACATTTTTGAAAGTTCAGGAATAATGTAAAATAGTGTCAATACAATGATGTTCAGCCATTATCAATACCATAATCTTGAAACTATTATAAGATGTAAATGTTTCTAGAGTATATAATCTGATATTGAAAATGCCCTTGAACTAGCTAATGAACAACAAATACAGTATAATAACATCACATTATCAGCTGGCTCAATAGAATATCACACACTGAATTTAGGTATCTATCTGAATCTAAGTAAGGATTGCATATGTCACACCACATGAACAAGGGCATGTAACTTAATACAACTTAATATATACACATTTTATCCGTATGTGAATGGTTTTTCTAGAGCGGAATTAAAGATTGTTGATTTGAATTTGTTTGAATCACAAATCAAACCATTTTGCATGAGGGTAGATGGCCCTTAGTGAATGAACACAGAAAATGTCGTGTGGGAAAAGGCCATAATGAATAATCACAGTGCTGCTTCTCCTACCCATGCAAAACTGCAGGTGTTTTCTGATGAATCACAGTTCTTGCTGCAACACCAATCTGCCAGACTCCTGGTGTGCCATCAGCAACAACAAGCATTGTCTTAGCTCTGGCAGTGAACTGAAGTTGTGTATGCCAATAGCTTTTCAGCATCCGTTGACATTTATAATCACCAATCACACTTAAAATAAATTTCCAATCACATTCAATCAACACAATAAGGTGGTCTTTATAATTTCACAATCTTTCTCACTTACTCTGCTGCTGGTGGTTGATCTGTTTATTTCTACCTGCTACAAACTGCTGTTACTGGCTGTGACGATTGATTTATCCATCAACCACCTCAGCCTCCTCCTGTGCTCCTGTCCTCCTCAAGTGTCTTATTACCATATGTGGGGTATGACATTTCTTTCCTGGTGCATTATGTATTCTCCATATCTCACTGATATGGGCCTGCTGGGTTCTGTTCTGTGTAGCCCTTTGGGTTTTATTGTGCTCCCCACTGACTCTGTCGCTGCCGGTTGGATCATTGAGGAGCACCCTCAAGAGCAGAGTGTATTCTGCCAAACATAAGTGTATAACCATTTGTTGCAGTAAATGCTCCTATGCTGTGACACAAATGTCTCAGACAGAAATGAGGTGATGCATGGTTACAGCTGTACAGGCCAGTGGGGGAGGTTTAATGGTTTCCGGGCCATTCAATTGGTATACAGTGGGTCTTTTAATGGCTACAGAGCTGTGTCTTTATGCCAGAGCACACCTTGACATAGCATCCAGTTTCAGCCATTCATTGCAATCGTATACCCCCAAGGGGATGATGGGTACTTTGGGCAAGATAATGCTCCCAGCCATGGTGACAGAATTGCCCAAGAATGCATGGTTCAAGACACATTCAGGTGAAATAACGTTAAGGACTTGGACACCAAAATCCCCTGATATTGCTCTCTTTTGGATTCACTGAAATGCGGTATCTGTAGAAAAGAGCATCTACACATCAACCTTTGGCTGTTGTATGAAGCATTGATGCCTGAGAAGACAGCAGGTCCCTTGCTAAGTCACTGCCAAGCTGTTATTAGTGTTAAAGGTGGTCCAGTGCTGTACTGAACAGGGGTCTATGTTTTTCAGGTCACTGACTGTATATTTTGTCTGTTAAGTTAGAAATAAAGTTACAGCCAGCTATCAGCTTGGTGATTCAATTTGATTTCATTTTAAAGGGTCATGATTCAGTTTCAGTTTCATCAATGAGATGGTTCATGAAACAATATTGTACTAGAGTACATTCGTATATATGAATTGTTGCACTTCTCTGTGTCTTGTGATTTTTATACTAAACAGAGTCAATCACTAGAGGTGGAAGGAAGCTAAATAATTACTATTATATTTATTTCATCTGTTGAGGTCTCTTGGGGTGTTTTGTTTTTATCCTTCACAGGAGTCACAAGTGTGTCCTTGGCCTAATGTAATACAGACAGAATTAGATAAGCACCATTAAAACATGTCTCTAAAAGTTTGTTTGAATTCTGTTTTATTTTAGGACTGTCTGAACCAACGACATTTGGGACGTTCTCTGGAAAAGATGTTCCATCACAGATTGCCTCGAATGGACACATCATGAGACTGGAATTTCAGTCCGATCATTCCAATACTGGAAAAGGCTTCAATATCAGCTACACCAGTATGTTTTACCTACTTACCTCTTTCTCTGTCTGTCTTTGTCTCTGTATGTATGGCTGTCAGTTAGATTTACTGATGTGTAAAACTTATCCAACTTGAGCATTGCCACTGATTAAGTCAAAATATATTATTTGCAAAATATCATCATGAGAGCATAATGCAGTGTGAGTTATGTAAGTTGGAGGTTTTACCAATAGTCCTTCTGCATAGTGCATTTCCCATTCATTCAACAAGAGACCCATCACCTTTCTTTCAAAATTGTGTGTTTGACTTTAATGTAGTTTTGTCTATATCTAGGCAAGTTTGCTTGAACATCTTTGAATTGATCTGATAGTGTAGAATCACTTGCACTGAAATCAAACTAAAAAATATTATTTGTGATGTGGCATTCATTTGTGTGCCAGTTTTGTTGTGTACTGGTGTATTTCCTTTATTCCCAGATACCCAGTCACATGTTAGCGTGATCACATTTGAGAAACTTCCAGAGCAGTTACAATGGAGATTTCATAGCAGAAAACTCTTCAATGATCTAAAAATGACAGCAGAAAACATAAGCAGCAGATGAGGTCAGCTCCTCAGAATAGAAAAGAAAGGGCTTCTTACAAGATACAGCAGTCTGTACTGGTGTATGATCCTACAGAGAGATGAAAACAGAAGAGTCAGTTGTATATGATCCAATGCAGTTGCAACACACAGTATGTTTTCAATAGAGGAGATGGGCTCACCTTTTCCTGACTAGAGAAGCACTTAACCGTCTCACTTGCTATTGTTTTCTCCACATCCATGTAACCCACAGTTCAAAACAACAAGTTAATGCACCTTCCTTTAACATTGCCACGAGGCATTTTGGCAAATGGAGAGAATTGCTATGTGAAGCAAAAAGTACATAAGATGGAGCTGTTTGTGAGTAAGCACATTATAGTAAGAAAAAAATAGAGCTTTTTGAAAAAAAGACTATATGATACACTGATCATCAAAAACAAGTGCAAAAAAAGTATTATTGGGTGAATTGAATTGTTTGAATAGTAAATAAGACCCTTACTATATATTTTACATCAGTCATCTAGCTAGAGTATAGCCGATTAGCTGTATGTACATAAAACTTCAAAACACATAACTAATTTATATGTGCCTAGTGAAGATTAGTAGACAACTCAATTTTCAGATATCAGGGTTTGTTTTGAAGGGTTTTAGACACTGGCTTGAAGTATCTCTATAGCTATCGCTATTGATAATATCCATTAAAAGCCATTCAAGTAAACATATTAAATACAGAAATACATTAATTGGCTCAGAATGTCTTACACTAAACAAAACTGAATAATACTTAGATGACTACAACACTCATGCTAACAAGCTCTTCATCTGTTTTTAGGATGACTGGTTCTATTTTACCTTTGCCTGTCCCATTGTCAGCTTTGTACCTGACTACAACAGCCTGTATACATATCTGCTCTAAGCTGAACTAGTTCGGCATGACTGATTCTGATTAATTCTTTGTGATTTACATGTGGTTTTGCACCATTTCACACGCTGCCTCCCAAATGACCTTGTCTCTGACTCTTCCTTGAGAGGTGACTTTTGACAAATGAAAGTACTAAATGACATTTTGCATCTTCACCACTCATATTTAATAAAAAGGTCCTAATTCCCCTTACACTAATCGAACTGGGAACGAAAAATTGACTTTTTGACCGGCCCACCAATATCCCAATTGAGGAGCGTGTCAGCTTCATGAAAATAGCCAGCCAGTCAAACCCAACCTTGCCTATCTTATCATTATTGTTGTATGTCATATGGCTTCAGACTAATAGTTGAACTTAATTGAGGATCTTGTGGATATGGGCTGGTGTATAATCAAAATGGGCTCTCTCACTCTTGTTTTTGTATAATGGGCTGCTCACTAAGCGGATGACCCATTCTGAGCAGCCCAAGCAGCCCATAGTCAGGCGACCCTTCTGGCATTTGCCCAATTTCTAGATGGCCAATCCGTCACTGCCTCATACTAACACAACTGAAAGGTTTGCATCACTGGCAGCAAAAATAGGCCATTAGAGTCACTAACAAACATTTCTAAAGTTAATGTACAAATACATAAATCACTTTCATACTCAAGGTAGTGTAGATAAAAACTCATATTCATAAAGAAAGACAATTGTTTAACTACATTCATATAGTTAGAAACTTTTGGAGAATGTAATTTGAATGCCTGATCACATACATTCTACATTGGGACTTAAGAAAGATCAGGCATCTTTGTGCTGTCTCAGTAATTTGGTCTATTAACATTTTAATGCATTATGAATATCAATCATTGTTGCTGTGGGTATATCAGTATCCTTTTATATGAATAATGTTAGAAACTCAAATATGAACTTTGACACACCAGACTGCACAGTTATATGCAATGAGCAGTCTATTGGGAACCAAAGACTGTTAAAAAAAATAGTAAGTGTTATTAATATATTACTTTAAAGTCATAGTCAAGGTAAATTTCAGGTTTATGGGTGCCATGTCTTAAGATTTACTTTGGCTGTGGTTATCAATGCTAGTATTTGAATTAGACCAAACACTTACTATATACTGCAAGGAACAAAACCACAATTTCAATTACCTAAATGCAAAAAGGCACATCACAGTGTATTGCTTACCTGGTCTAAGGTTATAACAATTTGCACAAAATACTACCAAAATCCACATGGTCTGTGGGGAGAAACCAAGATTCAAGGAAAAATATTGTACATGAGGAAAAAAACCTCACCCTTAAGAAGGCACACATTGCCAGAACAAAGCAACAACTCAATGTTCTCTCTTGAAGATAGAGCCATTTGACACAAAATGTTCAATATTTTGGTTTCAAAGTTAGAGGTCATCTCTATTTTCTCTTTCTCTCTGTCCCAGCCCTATTATTCTGTATTTCTTTCTTCTCTTAAATCCATCATGTTGATCTCTGTCTCTCACTCTGACCTCTTCTCTTTTGTTTCACTCTTTCCATTCACACACATAACCTTGTCTCACACTTTCTTTATCCGAAACACTCGAAAACACACTTTACTCCCTCCCGAGTTTACACATATAATTTGAATATTTTGTGTATTCTCATTTTCTGTATTTTCTCATATATATGTATACATCTCTGTCCTCTTTTATGCCTCCCAATCTTTTCCCTTCCTATTATATCAAGAGTGTGAATGTGTGCATGGTTATTTTCTACGTATGCCTTCGGTCTTTGTATGCCATATGTGTATGCAAATGTGTTCATCTATGTAAAATATTTGCATATGTGTTGCCATTTCCTCTCTTGCTCTCATTTTTTTTTTTATCAATCTGTCTCTTTCTCTCTCATTTCCTCTCCATCAGTAGCTAATCAACCTGAGACATGTCCAATCACTGGGTGTGTACTCTGGGTGGGATCAGGTTAATCTCTGGAATAAGGATAATATAAGCTAAACATGACAGGGTTGAAAATCCACGTGAAGATAATTCCATTCCCATATTTCCATATCTGTGGAGATGTCACTTTCACTGACAGTGATACACCAGTGTTTTTTTTTTCTGTGGTAGAACACATTTTCAGGTATTGGAATACATTTGAAAATAGGAAATACTCATTTTCTCTGTGCTAATTCAGTTGCAAAGTATTTTCCTTTGTTTCATACTGTTTATTTGGTTTACTGGCCCCCATTTAAATCTTGTCTTTGTTTTCTCTTTGCAGCCTTCGGGCAGAATGAATGTCATGACCCAGGAGTTCCTGTTAATGGTCAAAGGTATGGTGACCAGTTTCAGCTAGGCAGCTCTGTGGCTTTTCGCTGTGACCAAGGATTCATCAGGACACAGGTAAACATCAGATATCTGTCTAAATCTACTATAATAGGGTATGATTTACACAAGTAGTTAGTTATGTAGTTATCCTAATGTATTTTGCTCTGTTTTTACCCTACTTTAAAATAGGTTATACCTTAATATTATGCATTCATGTCATATTTCCAGGGGTCTGATCAGGTCACTTGCATCATCCAGGATGGAAATGTTGTTTGGTCTGCAGCTGTACCTCGCTGTGAAGGTAAACACACATACCGTTACACACCATTACATTATGTGTGAGCATTGACATTGTCCCACTTGCCAGGATACAAGTTGACAAAGCATCCAGCTATTTGGCTCTTTCCATGTAGCTTAAGTGTGCTTATACACCTTAGAAATTGTACAAAAGTTCTCTTCTAATTGCTTTAGCCTCTAGCCTCCCCAAACTTACGTATTCAGCCTGTTTGCATGCGTCTGTCTCTCTCAACAATAATCTTAAATGAGATTGGCACAATACCGCTGAAATTCATTCAGGGAGATGCATTCATTATATGCAGACTCTAATACACAGAGATGTATCCACAGTGTGCAGATAAGCTAATATGTGGAAGTTATAATAAAAGGACAGTGAATGTGCCATCATTTCAACACTTTTTAAAGGCCAATGGCAACCACTGGCCTGTGAGTATTTGCAGTATTTTTTGTATCCCCTCCATCTTGATTGTATTGTCTAAATGACATTATCAAATGTTGCCTGTTGTTAATAAATGGGATGGAGGAGACTATCAAATTAAATAGGGTTGTCACATTATTAAATACGGAGTATGGGAAAATATTATCCCTCCCGTTCAAGAAGGAAGGATAATTATGTTTTATTTCTAGAATGACTTTCTCTTGTGCATGCCATTCTTGAGTACCACTGCTTCAGTATGCACAGAATGGACAAAAGAAAAGTGAAAGAAAGAAAAGTGATTTTCTCCTTTAGCTTGCTAAAAATCTGGAGTTATGAGAGCATTCAAAGGGGCAACGGTATCTGCTACTTAAGAACAGAGAAAGTGGTAAGAGTCTGAAAGATAAGCCATTGCAAATTATATATTGTAGAAAGAGCAACGGATAATATACAGATCGTGAACTCCATGTCTAAAGTTTTCTCAAGGCTGTTACTATATATTACCATAATGCGAGTGCTGGACATCCTGAAAAAAGAGAAAAGAGAAAGAAACATTGAAAACCAAAGCTAATATAAAGTTACATTTATAAAGCGTTTTATTTTTATTGATATGGAAGCTAAATCTAACTACAGCTAATTCTTCCATTTTAATGTAGCCTAATTGAGATTTTGGCAGCTTTGCCACCTGCAGCCTTCTGAGTTGCAGGGAAATGATGAGACATTTTTTGGCATCATTTGACACATAAATATACTTGAATTCCCCTATAAATTATCATGCTATAATTATTAACCTTTCTCAAACATGAGCAACTCAAAATTGTTTACTGTAGCACAAGGTTGGCGCAGCATTTTCTAACGGTAAATGTTTATGTATGAAATCTAGAAATTCAGAAAGGATTAGAGAGCTAAAATAAATTGAGCAGATGATGAATCTGCTAACTCGATGTAATATGAGCAGTGTGCTCATGCCATAACACAGTTACAAGAAAAAGTGATTAATTTCTGTGTGTGTGTTTATTTCCCTGTAGCTCCATGTGGAGGCCATCTCACAGCTCCTACTGGTGTTCTGCTGTCTCCTGGCTGGCCTTCCTTTTATAAAGATTCTCTGAGCTGCCAGTGGGTGATTGAAGCACAGCCAGAGCATGCTGTGAAGATACACTTTGACAGGTAACTGATTTGGTTATGTTAGTATAGAGAGATGTTTTGTCAGGTTTGTTTACATGTTCTCATCAGTTGCTCAGAAGATTAGTCAGGTTGTTGTGAGTTGCATAATATAATCATGAAGTATGTCATTTTTCCACTTGTTTGTCTGTTAGTACATTATTAAGTTAGTCAGTCTCTTAGTTGGTCAGTCTTTCAGAATCTTTATAAGTTAGAGATAAATGTAGTTGGTGAGTTACTGCTGTAAATAATTAATGTTGGCTTTTTGCACTTTTTTTCTGGAAACAAGCCACAAGCAGATGCAGCGTAGCCTGAAATTGCAATAGCTGAAGTTTGTCTTTTTGGGAAGTGATGTTAAGGCCAAGTTATCTTCATCTCTTATGAGGCATTTCATTTGTGTAGGATTCAGCATTGGCATTGCATGCAAATGTCTGCTTGAGAAGGTAGTTAATTGTTCAGGTAGCTGGTTAGATATTCAGATTGTGACTGTGTCAGTGGACTCCAACTCTATGTTTTCTATTCCTCCAGGCAGTTCATTCATATGAGGTCCTTTTTCTAAATCAGTTATTGCTGTATTTGATGGTTAAAAGTATACCCAGCAGCACTCTTCTGGTTCTGAGGGCCATGCAGCCACAACTGTAGGTGATTTTTCAGTCAGTCAACAAGTCAATTAATCAGATTGGAGTATAGGCAGAGAAGGAAGTCAGTTGTTCAGCCAGTTAGTTACACAAGGTGGTTACGTGGTTATTTAAATGCAGTTATTTAAATAGGCAGCCAGATAGACTTTTGTTAGTTAGCATAGCATATTTCTAGACAGGTTATCAGTCTGTTGATTCAGTAGTTCTGTTGATTGCAAACAACGCTTGCTCTTAGTTTAATTGCATCCACTGGTGTTTGAGGTAGCGTGCACAGAGATTATGTATGCCAGTCATAGAAATGTTATCTTTGTGTATGTCAGGTTATTACACATGGTTTTGTTTGTTGTTGTTTTTTCTTGTTGCCTGTGTGTCTGTCTAGGTTCCAGACTGAAGTCAACTATGACACACTGGAAATCAGGGATGGCCCCTCCACATCCTCTCCCCTGATCGGTGAATACCACGGGACCCAAGCCCCTCATTTCCTGATTTCCACGTCTAACGTCCTGTTCCTGTTGTTCACCACAGACAACAGCCGCTCTGCAGCAGGCTTCAGCATCAGATATGAAAGTAAGGCTGATTGACTGAATGATATAAATGTTTGGTAGATGCGACTAAATTACTGGCAGGCAACAATGTTTAGCTGGTGCGATTACCCATACACACATTCACACTCACCCTCCTGACTCTGTGGCATTTGTGCTTGTGTGATGTGATTCTCAGGTGTGAAAATGGAGTCAGACTCTTGTCTCGATCCTGGTATCCCAGTCAATGGTCGTCGCCATGGCAGCAGCTTTTCCATTGGCTCCCGTGTGTCATTTACATGTGACCCAGGATACACACTGAGTGATCAGGAGCCAATTGTTTGTGAGCAGAATCATCAGTGGAGTCACGCTCTTCCCAGTTGTGATGGTGAGAATCTTTCTTTCATATTAGCTCTCTCAATAAAGACTTATAGTGGGCTGAAACCTTTTGTGCCCTATTTCCAAAGAATTTAAAAGCAATAATTATGTGATAATGTGAGGAAGGCAGTCCCTTGCTGGAAAACGTGTCAAGACAACACAAAAACAAACTGGAAGTATCCTTTTCAAAATGGCAAGCAGGTCAGTGTGATCACCTTTTCTTCAGGAGTAAATACCAAATCCTATGCTTGGCAAATGAAGTCATGTTGATTTTAGAGATTATGATTTAAATTTTTAACTAAGTACAGCAGCAAGAAAGAGTAGCTAGAACTTACTGTTGTGGCATTTTGGAGCCTCATAGATTTTTATCACTATTTTAGTTATATGTATATCTCAGTGTGGTATTAGTGAAATTAATCCAGCCCTGCAGAGTAACAGTGGGGCATTGATAAATGTTCCAGTTTGTTAGACCATGGCTGCGTTCATTTAGCTGTTTCCATCAGATCCAGCCTATAGCTGCTTATCACAGGGTCACAGAGGGGTGGAGATGACACTGGGTCGGTACACCCTGGACAGGTCTCCAGTCCCAGTGCTACCACATATAGACAGACATTCATACTCACAGCAAATTAGAGTTGGTAATAACGTAATGCTTGTCTTGAGAACATCCGAATGAAACTGACGCAAGTATGGGGGAGAACAAAAGGCCCCAGGTTTTTAGCATGTTCAAACCCATAAATTCCTTGTAGGTAGGAGAATATAATATACTGTGTTATACTTTGAAGTGGAACCCACATACGAAGACAAGACACAAGGCAGATGCAGTTAAAAGTAACTTTATATGGTAGTCATGCAGGCTTACATTTGGCAATAAACAGGCAGGATCTGGGAGCAGCCAGCACTGCAGCAGTGTCATGCTCACACACAGCTGTGTCTCGGCTTCACCACTGTTGCAATGTCCACTAGAAATTATTTTTCACAATCCCCTTTTGAAAGCCACCAGCTGTGTGGTTGTTGTCTGTGAGATAAGTGATGGTCAAGTGTTATAAAGTAGATAGTTTGTTTATTGACTTAAATATCACAATACAAATGTATCAAATAACTTTACACGATCAAATTAAAACATTAGGTCCAAGCAATATTCCATATACAATAGAGTTTTGTCAACATATAAATTAAATAATACAGCATTTTCAAGCAATATGTCTGCATCAATACACACTTGCTACTTTTTTCCATTTCACTAGGTGTAACTGGCAGCCATAGTGTTAATTGTACAATGAGTCCCCACTCCAGTACCCACTACCGCAATGGCCCAAGTTGGACATCCAGCCTCAGTGAAATCATGAGGGTCAATAGGCACTACTGAAACAGATGCTCACTGGCCACAGGCCTTTCCACTCAGCGTTTGCCCACAGCTCATGCTATCATGGGAGACGAATACACAGCGTCTGATTCAATCTGCCGATTAAAAAGAATCCAATTTGAGAGCCAAAGTCAGGATGTCTCAACTTGGGAGTGAGTTCATACCGAAGCAATCTATCTCACAATATCAGCCATATAACATAAGCAGGTTTAAACGGCCACTGTGACATTTTCAATTTTCAGGCAAGCATGCCATCTCACCAGACAGCTGTTACATTACAAGACAGTATTTCAGAATGACGCTTTTCTAAAATGGGGTGCAAGCCTTGACTAGAATATAATATACTGTATTATAGTTTGTGTTTAGATCATTGGACAGGAATTGTGTGAATTATGTGTCATAATTTACACAATTGACTAGCTTTATTATTATTTAGATAATTATTATGTCTTTACAGTTTCTGTTACTTTACTGTCGTCCTACCTACTGTACATACGTCCAGGTTGCCTGATTTGCATATTTTTAAGCTGTGGGAGGAAGTCAGAGCAAATCCCCACAAACACAGAAAAAACTTTCAGAAAAGAAAGGAAATCATCTTTAAAAACTCCCACAGTCGTGCTTTAAAGCAACTAATACACACACATTAATGGCAATGTTATTTACAATATCGTCTCAAAGGCACAGTTAACATTTTTACAGGAAAAGCCAAAAATTTTTCTACCACCACACTCCACCAAAATTAATTATTTGGACTATATTTTGTGTAAAACAAAAATCAAAATGACATGTAGTGCTCCTGCAGGCGTGCCAAGACCATCCCCTTTCAGTAATGGCACAATTTCTGTTGGACCCAAACCGCTCATCTTATTCCTGCGGGTCAGCTAAATCACCAAACAGATAATGCAGAACACTGGCTGCTCTTTTATGTGTCAAGGAGAATATTGAAGGGGTGCTGTGACATTTTAAAGCTAGCAGTTGGTGCCAAGACAACAACTTGTTAGAAGTGACCAAAGTCACAGTATCCCTTAAAGTAAAAAATGCCATGGAATCTTTTAAGAGGAAGATCATTAAATATAGAGAATAACATGGAGGCAAGAAAGAAGAGGAAGAATCTAGCTGATATCTGTCACTATTTACCTGTCCCCTCTCTGAAGCCATATCTGTCTATATCTGCTTTTCGATCAGCATTCAGTCTCATGCTGCTTCTCTAAACATGGAAGGCTTCTATACTTTGATTTTACCCTCAAATTTCAGTCATGAATAGTCTTTTCTTATTCTTCTCTTTTTCTCGCATTGTTATACAGCTCAGACTTTCTTGCGCACATACATTGACAGTCTGTCTCCTATCTTCTCACCCACAGATCATTCATATCACATCATTCAAGTATGCGCTCTTACACACAATAGATACGCACACAGACGTGCACACATGCCTCCCTCAACAAGGGTCATTTAGTCAGACAGTGTCCTAGTTTTTAGCTGAATCCTGATGGGAGTGTGAAAAAACTGGCGCTGGTTAAAACAACACACAAAGAGGAGAGCTAGTCAGAAAGAGAGAGAGAGTGAGAGAGGGAGAGAGGGAGAGCGGCTCTCATCACAGATACTCAACTCCAGCTCTGTTGAAATATGGTATGGAATGAGATGGAGGGATAGACATTGATAGACAGAGAGATAGGGATGGAAAGGCGGACACACAGCAGCTCTCTACAAACACACTGGAATAGCTGCAGTATGAAGAAATAAGAGAAGCTGCAACATCTGTCTTTATAAAGTCAAATTAATAGTCATCTTTCACCAAATTAATCATCAAAGTGTTTATTTTAGGACCTAAAAGGGACTTTTGTGCACCAAAATACCTGTATATATAAACCTTCAACAATCAAACAGGAGGGACATTAACAGTGAGGAAACAATGTTATTGTCTCTGATTCAGTTATTAGTCTGGGATGTTTGTTCCATAAGCGAGAAAAACACTCCTTTTTTATTTCCATTCCAGTCAAACACCTTGAAAGACTTTAATTGAATTAAATGTAACTGAATTGAGCTGAATAGAATTGAAAGGGATGGAGGCACAGTGAGATAGAAACAAAGAGTCAATATATTATCTTAGTTCAACAGTCTTGAATGCTCTAAGCCCTCTTAGATTATTTTCAAATCGGCTCTATCCCAAATGAGTTTGTCCTGTTCCATATCATTGGTCTGGTTCTGTGTAGTGGCTAGGTATCTGGTAACACACACATGCACACACACTAATCTCTCACTCACCAATCTCTCACTCTTTTTCAACAAACAGTTACAGTAAGTGCATCTCTAGACTTTACCCCTCGTTTCTCTCTCTACAGTTGTAGCCTGCATTTTTATTTTATTTTTCTGTAACACAATCAAATCATTAATATGTGCCTCCATCACAAATGTGATTATTTGATGACATCTTGATCCCGGACAGAACATTTTTCAGCTGTTCATTATATGAAAATGTTATCTGACACCTTAGTTCATTTTAGATAATAAAAACAATTCAGGTGAGGTTAGGAAAAGGGTAACGTCATTGTTTAAAGTGGCAATAATCAATATTTTTATAATGACAATGTATCCAATGACAATATGAAACCAACGTCACACTATGAAAGCAGTCGCTTGTAATGAACCTATAGATAATAATCAACTTTGCAGCTCGGCTTTACAGGGTTTTATAGCAAATTTCAACTCATTGTTTAGCTGTCCGACCCTGAGCTTCACTGTTTGGTTCACTCTCAGTAGTAAATCAGTTATTGCAGGTTTAATAAGGAATGCATTAGCTCAAAATGAAACATCAGTTGGAAATTGAATGTTGTTGGATTTAAGGATATATATATATACCTATTTTCCACCAAGTATAGATACTCAACACCAATACTTTTATTGTGTTACACTGCACAAGTTTGTCAATATAAAACTACAGCTGTTTTTTTCCATGTCTCCTCCCTTTAATTCTTTTGATATTGTGTGGGAAATTCTTTTTTGCATAGAGCACATACTGAAACCAGTCTGCGAAAATCTGGCAATTTGAAGGTGTGCAGATAAAAATAATTTTTAAGTTAAATCCACTCTATTAACTAAGAGTGGACATTTTGAGCAAATAAAAGTCATTATTTGGTGACCTCTCAACTGTACTTAAGATATGCCTTTATAGTTTTAGATGTTAAACTCAGGTAGTAATTTTTCAGAATTTGTTTAATTCTTGAGCTCAGTGGAAAAGGTTTGTAAAATGTTAAAAGAGAAATCTCTTCACCTTTTTTTCCACCTTTCTCTGTCTCTCACTTTCTCTCTGTAGCCCTTTGTGGAGGTTATGTTTATGGTAAAACTGGGACAATTCTGTCGCCTGGCTTTCCTGACTTCTACCCCAATTCTCTTAACTGCACCTGGACTATAGAGGTGTCTCATGGGAAAGGTAAGAACACACCTACACAGACATGGTGGAAACACCTATGCGTTTGCATAGAAAATAAATATTTTTCTTTCTTCATATGTATATAATATGTTTATCAGATTTGCACACTTACAAGATTGAAATATGTTGCCTGATGTGTGTTAATGTGTTTCTGGTTTGGTTTCTGTGTTTATCTGCTGCTATTTATGTATCTGTGACTAACTCTCTGTCTCTACTGTATATCTATCCATCCATCCATGCATCCATCTGTTTATCCATCCATCCATCCATCCATTCATTCATCCATCCATCCATCCATCCATCCATCCATTCATCCATGGATGTCCAGGAGTCCATCTGGTTTTCCACACTTTCCATCTGGAGGAGAACCATGACTACCTTTCCATCATTGAGGACGGCAATTTCCAGGTTCCAGTAGCTCGACTCACTGGCTTAGTGCTTCCTCCTAGTGTCAAAGCAGGCCTCTATGGGAACTTCAGCGCTCAGCTACGTTTCATATCTGATTTTTCCATGAGTTATGAAGGCTTTAATATCACTTTCTCAGGTAAGAACACCAGAACTGTTGTTTTAGACAGTAAACTGACATAAAAACTGTCTAACTCTATTTACAGAATAGACTTAACCTTTTGGTCTGCATGGATAGCATAAACAACAGGATCAGTTGTCTAATATAGCTGTATTCTTGTGTGCTAATATGGTACATTATTCTTCCTTTCAAAGGCAGAGAGCAGTAACTACAGAAACTGTAAAGTTGACCAAAAAAAGTCCAAACTGTAATTGTAAGAAAACTGTTTTATGCTGTTTTAGGCTGCTTAATGTTATAATCGCTGACACAGACCTTAGATAAAACCTAAGCTCAGTTTGTGACTGTCTCATCCACTGCATAGCTGACTGTACAGGATGACCCCATAGAAAAGCTCAGGGTAGCTGCTATGTGCTGCTCTTTAGCATAGGTAGGCTGTTTATCAGACAGATATTTGCCAAACCAACCACTTACTCTTTATTCTTGATGTATTTTCTCTTGTAAAACCCCCAAAATATTGTTTGAAAACACTTCCAATAAAGCATAAATCACACCAGTGGATGAGACACAGAACTACTGTCTGGGGCTGCAGCACGCTATGTTTGACTAATTTATGTAGTGATACTTTTTTTGTGATTATATTTAGCTACTGCAATATTTCTCTGGTAGAACAAACTCAATTACTAAGGTGTCGGAGCAGCATAATTGATCAATAACAGGAACCGGCTATAGTGGCTTAGCTAAGGCTACCACATAAATTACCCAAAACTAGGTGGAGTACAGTAATTGCAATTTATTTGGTTTTCTACTTCTTACAAATATTACATACTGTTTTTTTGTCGAAAGAGTGTCTATGGCATAATAGTTACCTAAATGTTGACCAAATATGTAATTACTGCATTTTGATTTGTGGGACAGTATTCTGATTAAAATAATATAATGACTTTTTCACAACCACACCATCAGCTTTAATTATAATTCATGACAGATGTCTAATACATTACAATGTCAGGTTTAAAGTTTTTCTGAAGTTTTTAAATGTAATGCATTTCTTTTATCTACCTTTAGTCTTGGCTTACTTAATGACAATCACACAGTTCCTGTACATTTCCCACCACTTTATTCTTCTTATAACAATGTTATTTATCTCTCCCCGGATGTATAGAATATGACTTGGAGCCATGTGAAGATCCCGGTGTACCAGCGTTTAGCAGGAGGATGGGATTCAGATTCCGAGTTGGCGACTCGCTGGCCTTCTCTTGTTTCCAAGGCTACCGACTTGAGGGAGACAGCAAGATCACGTGTCTGGGAGGAGGCAGGAGAGTCTGGAGCAACACACTACCGCGATGTATAGGTAAGACAGACAAGTAAACAGACTCAAGGGCTGACTTCACTGTCTCTGTGAAAATGTAAAATGATTAACACGGCATACAAAACATAAATCAAGTTATTGTATACTCATTTAACTTTCCTTATTTCTCATTACTTTCTTACACAGCGTTATATGTAGCGATCTTGTAACAAGCCTTTCAAAAGTTATTCTGCCTTTAATAATTATATCTTTGGAAAGGTTTATCTTCTGTGAAAATAACTGGCAGCTCGTAACATATAACTTTAAAATGAACTTCTTCACAATATAATAAAGCCTAGAGGTAAAATATATGCATTTTCCTGGTTGTAATTCACCAGTATTTTATTGCTGACACTATGATATTTGCAATTATTTGACTGGTTGACTTTTGGTTTTATTTGCCAGGATTTTGCTGTTAGCAGGTTGTAATTTGCTGGTATTTGATGAGTATCAGGGCTTCCTTGGATGCTGCTGGTAATTTATGGGAGTCTGACTGGTGGCTGCTGGTAATTTTCAAGCCCCAAAAAGAGCAGACTGAAAACGTTATAATAGCGTTATCTGTCAAGAGATCAGGCCTGACTAAGAGGAAACTGAGCAACAGCAGCTGGCAATGTTTACTTGGTTCATCTCTCTCCCTCTCTTTCTTTCCAAATGTCCCTCTCTTTAGCTCTTTGTCTCTCTCTTTCTAACTTTCTGGTTCCTCCTCCTCTCACTGTGTATCTAGGCAGTCCTTGGGTAGATAATTAGAGCATTAGTTGCCATATGAAAAGTGTTAATAGTGTTTCTTTTGTAACCCACCTTTTCATTTTTCTAATTCCTCTCTGCATATTTCCAAAAGGCACTTGTCTGTCTTGGTTCATCTGCTACCTTCTTTTCTTTTCTTCCACTTCCAGCTTTTTGTTCATCCTTTCCTTCTTCCCCTTCACTTGCCTCTCTTCTCTCACTCCCACTATAGTGCTGTTTTCACTTTGAAAAGATTTATGCTGCTTATCTCCTGCCATAATCTGCTTTAAAAACAACAGAACATTTACAAAAATGTTGTTTTGAATTTCAGATTTGTTCAGATTTGATAAACACTGGATCTTTTGTTGTGTTTTGTTTTTCTTAGTGAGTTCCATGTTGTTCCACACCAGCTTCTCTCTTGTCTATCTCATTACTTCCATTTCCTCCTTCCCTACCAAGTGCTGGTGGTCCTCCTCAGTGGGAGTTAAAAGCCTGCTTGTCTCTCTTCTCTTTTCTCCTCTCCTCATTTACATATGACAAAACTCTGTTTGCACAAAGTACCACTTATTTGAATTTGAATTATTTGAAACTTTGATAGCCACTGCACCTGCTAGATAATTCTGTATAATTTCTATGAAACACTTCGAACTAACAAATCCAGATTTGCTTTAAAGCAGTGTTTTGTTTTGTTTCTGTCATTCTGCCATCTTTTTAATCTTTTGCAGTTTATGTTTAATTGCTTTACTTTGCTGTTCCTCATCCTTGTTTGCATTGTCTTATTTGAGGCACATTTCAAACAAGTGTTTGCATATGTTACACTGTACGGTATATTATTATTATCATCATTATTGTTATCATGTCTGCTGAGTGAATAAGGTTAGTGGTTATACTGCATATGCTCTGTTTTTCATGTAGAATTGTGAGTCCTTGTCTCTCTTTTTCCACACAAGCAGACCCAGATATTCTGACTGCTCGAAGATAATTAGTAAGTAGTAGTAGATTTTGATCCACGCTGTCCCTGCCTCCTTTACTCTCTTGGTGTAGCGGAGTGTGGAGCCTCTTCACTAGGACCAGAAGGCGTTCTCCTCTCTCCTAACTTCCCCTCCAACTACGATAACAACCACGAGTGCATCTACCGCATCACTACCGAAAAGGGCAAAGGAATCAGGCTGAAAGCAGAGAGCTTCTCACTGCAAGATGGAGACAATCTCAAGGTATGCACACACACATGCAAATATGACAAGCTTTTTCCAAACAGGTGGTACAAAATCCATATTTATCCACACTATTTACAGAGTCAGAGACACACACAATGTCCATATGGGATTATAGTCATGACTAAAAGCTGTCTATATGCAAAGTTGTATATGCTTTGACATGTATACTTGGAACAGATTACTACGCATTTGGGTTATTTCAAATTATGCTTGAAAAGAAGACAGTAATTGAGTTGTAAATGCTGGCGTACTCATGCACGCAGTTAAATAACCTCTCATCAAAAAAAGAAACCATGTGTTGTATTGACCACACACTTAGACCGTAGAAGTATATAATCAAGGATCTGTTTTTAAAATTGACATGTACAACCTGTTTTGCTCAGCAGTTTCAATAGGCACTGCATTACAAAGTGCAAAGTATTGTTCTGTTTTTTTACTGTAAACTAACTGTCCATCTTCAAATGCCGATATACTGTAACAATTCAAAGACTTTTGATCTAAAACAGTTTAAAATATTTCTTCACTTTTTTTTTATAGATATTAAAGAATATTGTTTGTGTAGCCAAAAGCATGTCAGTTTAATGTTCAAAGCCACGTACCTTTCTGGTGAATATCATCGCATATACATAATTCAACAATATAACATAATATATATATATAAGAATATAATATTCAGCCTCGACTTATGTTTGTAGATATGTAGTTTCAACTCATGTTAGCCACTTCATCACTTCCCTATGCTTCCTGTTTGTTTATCCTCTCATCAAGAGGTACAGTGACCTGCATGATGCCAGAACAATTCTGAATTGAACAAGAATTTAAGGTCTCATTCCATGCTTTGATTGCTCCGTCTTCTGTGTTTGACACAAAAGCAAAGACTGCCTTGAATGGTTAATTCTCGCCTATACACTACGGTAGTCATTTATATGTTGTGCTGCAGAAGCCAAACTTTCTCAATGCAGTCCTCAAAGCCTACCCTTTCTGCAAGCTTTTGTTCCAGCCATGCACACCTGGTCCAATTAAGGTGTCAGGGAATGTGTAGTCCTTAATTATAGGTGTGCAAGAAAAAGACTGGGGTAAAAACGGGAAACACAGGAGGGGCTTTGAATCCTTGGTTTAGCCAGTATGTAGTTAAATTGTATTAGCAAGGTTTGCCCTGGCTGTTAGATGTGTTAAACATTGTTGTAAGAAGCAGTAACATCCCTGCAGGGGTTTATTACCCATGTTCTCTATTAGTGCTGATGGTGCTCCTGCTGCAGGGGCCATCCACGGCTGAATGAATACACAGGGAACAAAGGCACAAAAGGATCAATTCTTCCTCTGTTAACCCTGAAACGGATGCACTACATTGTGTTATTGTTACATGTGTGGGTTAACCTTGTTTTTTATGCACTTTGTGTACAATTTGTCATAATATGTGGTAACACTAATTAAAATAAATAACTATAGAAGAGAATACTATACAGCTGAAGCATCCCATGACTGCAGGAAGGACAAATGTCTTAACCAAAAAAAAAACAAAGCATATTGACTGATTATATAAGCAATGTCAGCTGTAATTCAGCGAGATGTGTTATAGACAGAATACAGTCGGAGGCTATACAAACTTGATTTGCAATAGGTTATCATGGTTCTTCTCAGTCTGATGGCGCCCCTTGAGGATTTGGAGTTGTCACATTGTATATATATTAGGAATTTATTGAAGTGTTTACATATTATGAACTTGGATGTGCATACTTGTGCATGTCTGAACTATAAAGAGAATTACAGATGTTCCCAAGGCTCCTAATCCCTTATAAGTCCTCTCTCGGGTACATGTGCCCACTTCGGTGTCAGTTAGGAGCGGCTGTGTGAGCTGTTTTACAATCTTGATGCTGTCCTACAGACATTGTCTTGGACTTTTTTTATTCACAATGTCTCTTAGCGGTATTAGGCCTCAGGGCATGGTTAAGCCAGTATGTGGTTAGAGTGTATTATCAGTATTAGGCCTAGAGCATTGGCTGAGCCGGTCTCTGGTTAGATTGTATTAGCAGGGTTCTCCCTGACTTTTAGAGAGATATGACATTATTGTAAAAGGTGGAAATTTTCCCAGTGGGATAGGTATTTTAAAAAAAGGGGAAATCATCTTAAAAGAAAGTGATACCAAGATGGTTAACGTGCTTAATATTGCTTATACAGTATATTTCTTCACAGCCCAAACTATGAGAAAAGGAATGAAGAGAAGCAGATCCAGCTTACTGAAGTTTGCTTTACCTTAGTTTTCTAACATGCCTTGTTTTACACTGCAGCCCCCCTCCCATTACATCATTGTCTTTGTAATTCAACAAAAGGAGGCAAACACAAAGACTGGAGAGCAGTTAGAGGCATTTGGTCTTTTTCAAATTATGATTGTGTTCTTCACAAGGCCTTTGACATAGTATTTACCGTAATAAATTGATTCCTTATCAGAAAATAACAGGAACAGAGGAACCGAACAGAGAATGACTACAGATCACAAAAGTTAATGAGGACTGACTAGATGCTAACATAGAAATCACAAAGTAATGGGAGGCCCCAAGACTGATTGCAAGAATGACACATCACATTCAATATAGGGCATGAAACAATATTAGTGTTTTGGCTTCGGTTTTGATGCTTGGGGTCCAAAATTACTGATAACAAGTAACTTTTAAAGCTAATTGTTTGTTTGCAGTATGGTGATGTACAATACAAAATACTCTAATGGAAATACAGCACTCATCTGAACATGTTAGTTAGACATTATAATTAATATCTCTATGTGTTATTGAACACATGCAGGCATTAGGGTTGGTTGGTACTGCACACAGTGGGATTAATTAAATGTCCAAAGTTTGACTAGCATCACACCTTTCAAAAATTATTATTTTTGATTATTATTATAATATGATTTTAATTAAATTATTATTATTATTATTATTATTATTATTATTATTATTATTTCAGGAAAGTGCAAACTGTTGAAACCATTGTCAGTCTTTTTTTAGGGTTTCATAAATATATCAATCTAAATGCATCAGAGCATGAATTAGAGTGTCGGACATTTCAAGTTGCTTGTGTTGCCAACATCTCTCTAGACAACGCAATATTCTCTGACCGAAAAATAAGGAAGTCTGTCATGCAATCTGAACACTTCAGTGTTCACCAGAGTATCAGTACTTTTAGTTAGATCATGTGTCATTTACTCTTGTTAAACTCTCAGGCCGTACTTGAACATTTTTGCCCCATTTTACCACTAGAGTAAAGATCTAAGAATAGTTAAGTTGGCGCTCCATTTTCAACAATCCAACGTTTTCTCTTTCTTCTGTGTAATGGCAACATGAGGCTGCAAGCATGACTATTGACCTTTAGTCTCATAAATTATGTTGAAAAAACAGTGAAATCAAACAGAAACTTACACATTTTCCAGCTGAGCATTCATCATTTAAAAATATAGGGTACAGTCGAAAATTATTCATGTAAAAAGTATAAATTATGCCAAAGATAGCAGGTGCTTGACGTGATGGAATCTGGACTATAGTCATGTCTTGTCTGATGAGCATTTATAAGGGCGCTGACTAGTAATGTACAACATGCCTGTTAATTATAACTTTCCCAAAGAATTAGCAGGAAAGCATAATGCAAACTATAATGAACTGGAAGGAAAGCCCCAAAGTGCCACTTAGGTTAGCAATTAGCATGCCACTCCCCAGGCTAACGGTAATGGATCTAATGCCTGTTACTGCAGCTGAACACTGAACACAAGCCATTTGTTTGACAGTTCCAGCAAGCTTCAGGCTAAAATATCCTGTAACATATGAACCAGCTCATTACAATTCCTTTTGCTATTGGCTAAGATTTCACCCTGGCACTGTTAAAGAAAGGGATAACCAAGCTCAGTTTGTCTTAAAATGCCCTCTAATACACTGCTTGACCAAATTTGCTCAGATGTACTCCAACCCTGAAGGAAAAAAAAGAGAGAGGGTGAGAAAGAAACAAAGTCGGGGTGTGCAGGAATTGTTCTCTGGAAATAGAGGTGATAGGAGAGCGAGAGAGAGAGAGAGAGAGAGAGAGAGAGAGAGAGAGAGAGAGAGAGAGAGAGAGTCAGACAGACACAGAGAGGAGGGGTGGCAGATGGTGACATGTTGATTTATGAGCCGCAGGGCTTTTCATTAACCATACTGAGGTTTACTGAAACAGGGAGAGGAGGAGAGAAAGACAGAGAGAAAGACAGACAGACGGACAGACACTGAGATGCAAAACTGGGGGAAACTGATTGAACGGGAGGAATGCAGGGAGGGAGAAACAGGGAAGGAAAATTAAGTTTGGGGAAGTAATTCTACAGATACTGTAATTCCACTCTTCCTTTTTTAACTTTTACTCATTTTTACACTGTCATTTCCCATGTCTCTCCATCTTCTTTATAGTCATGCTTCCCATCACAACCACGCACTCCAACATACTGTAGCTCCTACTTTGGCTTCACGTAGAGGGGTGTCCTCTGAATGGCAATACTTGCAGAGGTAGAACAGTACATCGCCTTAGCCCTTTGTCTTTGGAATTCCTGCCACCTGCAGACCTGTCACCACCAATCTGTGGGAATGTCCAAGGCTTCAAAATATAAGCATGAGCAGTTCACATTTATATCCCATCTGTGAGATAGTATTATGAGTCCTAATTCTCCCCTTCAAACTAAGTTTGAAAGTAGACTGCACTTGCCAAACTACTACTTCTCCACTGTTCACATTAAAGCTGCATTCAGGATTTTGACCACTAGAAAGCGAAAAGTAGACTCCAAAACAGACTACAGTGTTGCAGTATCAAATACAAAATACAAAAAAAATAAAAATACAGTGACAAAACTGTGTATTGAGCTGTATTTTGGAGAAAACAAAAGTATTTAGAACATAGTGAGAGCATATGTGGTAAGTGAATGTGACATCAACCGTTCAACTGGAAAACTTTTTGTTTTGTCTTTTGTATGATGCGCAACTTTCTTGTGTTTCCAAGCACCAAAAATCTCTCTTGGAGCCATTACTCCACCCCCTGTATCTTCTTGTCTCCCAGCGCTCATTTAAAATAAATGACCTCCAGCTGTTTTGTCGCTTGTTTGTGCTGCAAATGTGAGCACCCAGTTACAGGTTGATGATCATAGTGCGAATGATAACAAGCAAAACTGGTGTTAGACCAAAAAGAAAGATTGAGCCCAGCAAAAAATCTGTTAAAATATTAACATCTTCATCAATTTCGTAATTTTTGTCAATGGAAGGAAGAAACACCTGATCAACAAAGATAATAAGTCCTACAACAATAAATTTTTTGTCTAAATCTAATATATCCTGTTTTCACTTTCACTATCCTTTTCACTCTCCTGTTGTGTTCACCTCTTTCAATATATATGACAACATCTCAAACCAGGTCACACACACACACAGAGAGACATTGGCTTGCTTAGTTAACAGTGCAAAACATGCATCCAGAGACTTCTAGCTTTTACTGGTGATTTCTAGACTTTATTTTGAGATTTCAGAGCATCCATCCAGTCCAAAGTCCAATGATGTTTTTAATTTTGTAAATCTAATCTATCCTGTTTTCACTTTCGTCACTTCACTCTGGCTGATTTCATCTCTACTAATATGCATGACAGCATCTCAAACCAAGTCTCCCTCTCTCTCCCTCTCTCTCTCTCTCCCTCTCTCTCTCACACACACACACACACACACACACACACACAAGCATTTACTTGCTTAGTTAACAGTGGAGAACATGCATCCTTAGACTTGCTTTTAGTGCTGATTTCTAGGAAACACACTATATTACTTGTTAATGGTGTCCTCCTGATAAAGTATATCAACTTAAGCAACATAATTTTAAAAAATATAAACAACAATTTGGAACACTTATCACAGCTGGGGATAAACTCAACAGTGAATGAGTTCCTTTTTATTTTTCATTGAGGGCTGCAATTTTCCCTCCCTGAAGTGATACTCAAATCTACTGCACCCCACAGGTGCTAGACAAGAATTAAACTGCAAAATTCAAAGTAGGTTTGTCACAGTTTCACTCCATCTCTTGTTGTACCCACCATGAAAGTGCTACTTACTCGCTGGAATTGTTGCATAAAAATCTTGATGGTTTAACATAAAAAAGGAGTCATCATCGGTTCTGCTGACTGTTAGCCCCTTAACAACTCACTAGTGACCTTAGCAACTTTCATGTCATATTTTAGGCTCTGTCTTTTGTGGTGCTTCACAAGGTCCACAGAGATGCAAAGCTAAGCAAAGTAGCTTATTTACTGAAGCACAGTGAGGTTTTTTGCATCACTTGCGCTGTTTGGTATTTTGGTGGTCACTTGCAGAGGAGAGGTAATAGAGCAGTGCCCCTCCAATTTTGGTTTCAAAACTGACCACAGTGTGCTGTCTTTTGTTTTTTTCAAGACCAGGTCAGCAGTGCAGTGTGCACCCATGTTCTGTCATATTCTCATCACTTAAATACTGGTACCCACAAACCCTATAAACTCATGTTTTTATTCATGCTATGCGGTCCTGTTTCTGTGTTTTGATTGACAGGCGTATGATGGAGAGAACACTTCATCCCGTCTCCTTGGCAACTTTACACGTGACAGCATGATGGGTCATGTCATCAATAGTACGTCCAATCGCTTGTGGCTGGAGTTCAACAGCAACGCCTCTGGAACCAGTCAGGGCTTCCGACTCACATACACAAGTGAGTTGTTGTTAACGTAGGATCAACTGATTAGAAACACAGCAATACAAATTGTTTTTCTTTCACTGTTACAGCCGTGGTTTGTTCAAGAATGACACAAGAAAGAAAGCACTCCTCTCTTTTGCTCTGACACACACAGTTTCTGCACACAAACACACACAAACAGTAATTTCCTAAATTTTGAGTAGCTCATCATGAAGATCCTTCTAAGGATGTGATTTTAATTGAAAACCAGAGTGGTGGTGATTGTGTTAAATTGCCCTCATGGATATATCCTACGTCAGTCCTGTGCCTCAGTCAAGTGATTCTTGAGTGCTACATACCACAACAAAATAGGTGTCATGTACTACAAAACTCTGGAGACCAGTCTTTCTCTGTCAGCAAATTACCAAGCTATTTCTTTTAATTTCTGTTGAAGATGTCCAACAGCAGTTTACCGAGCATACAGAAAAAGACACATACATGCTCTCTCTCTCTCTCTCTCTCTCTCTCTCTCTCTCTCTCTTTCTCTGTCTCTCTCTCTTTGACACACACACACACACACACACACATATCTTAAATGCTTTAAAGAGAGTCTGTTAAGAAGGCAAGACCAGCTGCTGTGTAAGTCAAAGAGACCATTAGAGGAGCATTTATCCGCAAGTCATTAAAATAAGGTGAGATAGTGACACATCTGGAGTGGAAGAGCGGCTGGACGGAGGGACAAACGGATGAAGGTAGATGGTATATGGATACTAGATGGATGCTCTGTATGTCAGTTAAACCATTACACAGCCGTTAATCTGCAAGTCATTAAACCGGAGAAGGTGACACCTTCTGCAAAGTTCTCCTACAATGGATGAGCTGATGGATAGATAAGAGAGATTGATAGAAGTTTTAAACAGGAGAAAGGAGAGACAAGCATCTGAGAGAGGCAGCGATGGTTTCTTAAATAGGGTCAGGGACTGAGTAAAACTGCTTTAATACCAAACAGTATTAGAGGCAATTTTAATAGAGTAATAAGATGTCAAACATCTGTTCAAGACATTAACAAGAACGGTTGACAGAAGTGAGATGCGTCTGTTTTACCGAAACGGATGCAGGAAGGAATAGACAGTTGTAGACACACCTTACAAAACTGGGGAGAAAGCTCACTTAAAAAGTTGATGGCTCTGTGAAAAATGTTATTGCAAGGCTTTATGAAAGAGTAAATTGTGATTGGACAATGAGTGCATTTCAATTTTGTGTCCTGATTCTGTCTAAAAAATAACAGATAGCAGGTATTATTTTATATATAATTACATCACTCAACAGAGGATTGAGATTGAAGTTTATTTAGCAACACCCTCTGCCAAAAAGAAATTATACAATCTTTACTGCCAATTTATCATATAAGAGCAGTGTTGGGCAAGTTACTTTTAAAAAGTAGTTAGTTACAGTTACTAGTTACTTCTTCCAAAAAGTAACTAAATTAGTTACTCAGTTACAAATTATAAAAGTGACTAGTTACTTTAGAAAGTAACTACTGCATTACTTTCAAGTAAATTTTTAAATGCTCAAATGTGACCCCACGTCCACCCCTCTTTAACGGAACTTAAAATACACGTGCATGTTCAATTATTTATGATAAATCTGAATATTATAATGAAATGGACACTTAATACAATACATTATTAACAGAAACAATGTACACAAATCTAAACTATTTTAATGTTGCTGTGGGACAAAGTGAGACTAGCCTCCAATCAAATGCCATGTATGTAGATATTATGTTTATATAGTGGATCGATACAAATAACACAATAGATGTTTTGGAACTTTTGATATTTATTGCCCCTCAACAGGCCACAACTAGGAAAAATTAAATTATGCTTGTTAAGCACTATACCAAAAATAAATAACAAATATATACACTCTTTGTAGTGCAAATAAAACAAAAAAAAACTTTAGACAATTGGTAGATATACTGTACTTCAAGTATTTTCTTCCAAACAACATATACACTCTTTTTAGTGCAAATGTAATAAGATGCAACACAACTCGCCATACCTGTCTCTCGTTGACTGACTCGCTTGTGTTGTTCGTTGTGTGTCCGACTATGCGTTCTTTCGAACACCCGCCCATCTCTACCTCTGATTGGCTTACCATGAAATTTTACTCAACCTCAGCCAATCGTCAGCATGTATGTGCTTGTCTCATGCACTGCCCACTAACCAAGGAAGAACAGTAAAAAAAGTCTTTGCCTCTCGGCTCAGAGATCTTGTTGGTCTGATGAAAAAAACAGCTTAAATCATAGTAACGCGCTGCATTTTTTGGCAGTTATTAAGATGGGAAGAGTAATCGATTAGATTACTCGATACTGAAAAAAGTAACCTCGTTATTTATAACGCTGTTATTCCCATCACTGTATAAGAGTCATATCACTTATTTTATATAGATAACATAAAATTAGAGATGCTCGATATTGGCTTTTCTGCCTATATCCGATATTCCGATATTGTCCAACTCTCAATTTGTGATACCGATATCACCCGATACCGATATATGCAGGCTTTTTACACCAAAACTATTAGGTAACAACATAACATATCTCCTATTGTGGAATTAACACATTATGCCTAATTTTATTGTGATGCCCCACTGGTAGGGAGGCCATTTCCTTCACATCAAAAAGGAGGACACTTTGCCTACACGGGGACACGCAAGCAGATATTTGTTTGGTATGATCCGGTTTTAAATGTAATGTTTTTCCACCAGATTACATAAAGGTGCACACACATACCCCATAGCTAATAATAAATATACAAGATACATCTCATGACAAGGTGCCCTTCCAATTCAGATGACATAGGTCTAATAAACATCATACAGAAACTGTTCTTAATGTTTTTATCTGGATAGATAAAGGGTAAAAAAAAAAAGCAGCACCTTCTGTGTCAGATGTATAGGCTTTGCCTATCTACATATGAGTATGAGCATTTTCAGAATTTCAGTCCAACAACTGACGTTAGCTCACATTAGGTTCACTGTCTGAGAGCTTGATTGACAGCCTGGTGGTAACTTAGCAACTGTGCTGATCCAGTGGCGAATCAACACATGGCTCAATTGAATATTAAAATGAGCCATGTGTTGATAGGTCAGGACGAAAATGTAACCAATGAAATTACTTATTTTGACACACATTTTTAGCCAATAAGTATTAAACTAACGAGGTAATGTGTCAAAAGGCGACGTTTTTAGTTATTTTCTCAAAAGGAGGACAAACGAGTGTCCCACAGGGAATTTAAAAGCCGGACTGTCCGGCCTAAAGCCGGACGAATGGCCACCCTACCCACTGGATGCATACATAAATGCAACATGGCTTTCCAAATGTAAACACTGTCTGTGCAAAATAAGAAAACAACTTCAACTTTCATTGTATTAATACTAAAAAGAGCGCTAACGCTAATCGCTAGCTAAGCGCTAGCTTTGGTTAATGTGTTTAATTGTGTTATTCACCTGAAGGAGAGCTAATGTACGGAAGCACATTGCATTCACTGGATAAAAAAAATGTGACACCTTATCTCGTAATTATGAGATCAGCTCATATTGTAGCTTCCGCCGGGACGTGTTGAAGAGATGACGAAGTGTTATTCAGCAACCCAACATTTATTACTGGAACAGTCCACGTTACTGTCGGCCGTAACCACGCCAAAAACAATGAAAACATAAAGTTAGGTAACTCTCTAACTGCGTCCTTCGCACCCCGCCCCCCACCTACTCATTCAATCCCAAACATGTATTTAACTCACAGAACATTTGACATTATAACAGAACATTACTACAGGGTCGCTACTATATATGTCTATGAGTAAATGAAAAACTTGGTTTATTTACGACTGTGGCTTTGTTATGTTTTGCCGTGTGACGTTGTTACTGTGGCAACAGAAAAGCTGATATGGCTGACATGCAATGCGCTTCCGTAACTGAGAGAGGATTTACAGAAGTTTCCTTTTTCTTTATCTTTTCTCATAATTACGAGATAAGGTATCAAATGTTTTCTTATCTAATGCAATGTGCTTCCTACTAATGTAAATTCTAAGCCAATTGTTAGTTTGGTTAAGGAACCGCTCATAGCAGGGTAAAATATTTAAGCTGCATTGCACTTATTTTGTGTTAATATTAAAATCATTCAGCTTTAAATTGTTTGCTTGTTAGCCACAGTTAGCAACCAACCAGTCTAGCGTAGTTGTTGTTGTTATACGTCATCTAGCACGCGCCAGTAAACGTCCCATCCTGCGTTAATGCAGACTCGGAAATGCTGAAGCCTACAGAACAAACATTGGTTATAAAAATCTGATACCGATAATTCCCGATATTACATTTTCTAGTGAATATCGGCATCCCTACATAAAATGTTTCACTGCTAGTTGAAGTGCCTGAAGGACAATCTTACCAACTTTGGATGTTTACTGTACATTCAGTCTATGTGGTCGCTGTGTGTCTTGTAAGTGACATCAAGCTTCTTTAAATCTGTATGTTTGATCAGATTATGTTTGTTTTTATTAAATAAGTTGTCATAAGTGGGGCTAATATGCTACATACAGAGCAAAAAAAGTATTGAAAAACACATTTATGGTTGTAACAAATTTTCTTGTCATTGTCCATTATATGGAAACATAGGACATTTTCTTCATCAAAAGGCTGACCTTGTGGAGAGAACTTATGTCGGTAACATTGTTGTGTGTTTCTTTATCCATCTCTCTTAAAGGCTAGAAATGTCAGTGTTCTTTTTCAATCTTCCAAACACACAGACATTTGCTTATGCTTATTCAAGTGTTCAGTATATTTGTGTTAGTGTGGGGTGTAAAATTATCAGATGTTTTCCCACCGTTTTATACAGGAACCACATTTTCAATCCATGAATATAATCACTGGTGATGTTCACTGCCCATCTTTATATCTTACAGAGAATGGATAAGCCTATGCATTTTTAAAATATCATACCAGAAACAAGCAAATGAGTAGAGCCTGTAGAAATGTCTAGTCGCTTTCACCATAGCTGTCACATTGGGTTTCAGCATTAACAGTGAGTTAAACTTTACATTTCTGCAGGAAGTAGTGGGATTCAGGGAAAGAATTGTATGACCTTATGTCCTCTTGTTCAAAACTGCTCTGAATCACCCTGTTCATTTATGCAATGTTGTCTTACAGCATGGATAGGAACACCTAACCTGTGTATGTATGTGTGTCTGTGTGTGTGTGTGTGTGTGTGTGTGTGTGTGTGTGTGTGTTTCTCTCTATGTGTGTGTGCGTCTCTTTCTAGGTTTTGACCTAGTACGCTGCGAGGAACCAGGTGTTCCTAGTTATGGCTATAAGATCCAGGACGATGGTCATTATGCCAACACTTTCGTCCTGTACTCCTGCAACCCTGGATACAGTCTCCATGGTAGCAGTACACTGACCTGTCTCAGCGGAGACAGACGTGTCTGGGACAAACCTCTTCCTTCCTGTATTGGTTAGTATGCCAGCACATGTGTAGGTTCTATGTCCATCAATAATTCAGAACTACAAGATCTGAATTATTAACCTTTTTTTTTCATGCCATTCACTGAGAAATATGGCAAGGAGCAGCAGCAGTCGAAAGCTAGTCATGTCGCTGTATAAGCTCCAGCAAGAGCATGATGATTCAGAAGAGAGAGTGAGTGAACAAGTGATTGAGTCAATACAGGTGAACACTTTGAAAAGAGGGCATGGGGACTGATTCAACACTCTGTGGGAAATATTCATAGTGGTGCTAATACACCTCTGTGCATAAAAAACAGCCCTTGCTGATCCATCAACTGTGCACACAAGACTGTCTGCGCTTGGACAGCAGCATGTCACCAGGCATGAGATTTTAGTGCACCAGATGTCTGTGTATTTTAAGGATGGCATGGTGAAGGTGCAAAAATAGCGGATGACTGTCTGAATTGAACTTTGATAAATTTATAATGTAAGCCAGACTACTTTCTTGTACCCTGAAGGTGTGCACAGTATTTTATGCCAAGGACTTTGACGGAAGCCTTAGCTTTCTGTTCTATTCTCAGCATGCACAATAAATAGAATATTCTATCAGCAGACTTTTTTCAGATGCCAGAAAGTGATGTGATGTTAAAACAATATTGATTCATCTGAAATTGTTGAGTGAGTGTATCTTTTTCAGATACTGGACAACAAAGACTGGAATGAAAGTGCAACCATATACACTTTACTGTGACATCCTGAAATTGATGACTGCATCCTGTCTTACTTTCAAAAGTTCTAATGATTAATTTCCCTTGCCTGCAAGCTTTTCTGTAAATGTAGTCAAAGTTGTGGCAATAATTCCACCTGGAGAAATTAAAAAATCTCATATAAGGTACTTACTGTACACCTACCATCGACTGTGATAGGATGACTAATTATGATAAAAATTATTCTGGGAAAAGGAGTCAGATTTGAGATAATTCTGTCTTCAACGGATAGGTACAGGGTGTGACAACAAAAGTAAAATAATTATAACTGTAAAAATATTAAATGCCAATCATGCATACCACTGGTTAAAACACCAAAATTCTGTAATTCCTAGTAAGGAGGACAGCTTATTTCTAATATGAATGTCATCCAAGCATACGGATAAAAGGAACATAAAAGCAATCCTTACAGTAAGTTGTATCAAAGTCATGTGAATTTTAGGTTAAAAAACACAACATTGAGAAGATTATGAGATCTGCCCAAAGCATAATGTAATAATAAGCCATCGATGTGACTGGTGCTGTGCACTCCCACAATATTAGGTTTTAAATGACAAACATAAAGGTTTCTCAATTGGCATATCTAGAGTACATTTAAATATTTCTCAGGTTCTGAGGTAGGTAAGCTGCCAGAGGGCAGATTTAGCTATAGTTGGCACTTGGCAGCTTTTAATTAGGTTGGAAGAGAGTGTGCCAAATGATTCAGGTGGTTTGACATGGTGATTCTTTTTTTCCCTTTTTCTTGTGGACTTGTAAATGTTGTTTTGTGTTTTAGCTACAGCATGTACAACTGGCCATTCTGATTCCTTATTGTCATTCAGCAACCAGCAGTGAAGCATGAACTCAACATTTGTTTGTATTGTTCCTAGCTAGCTTTGAAATCCCTAAAGCAAATTCACAATTTTTAAAGTCCATAATTCCTGCTTGTCCATAAATATTTTGTGGCTTTGCATATTTTACAAATGAAAGCACTTTCCCTGTAAATATTTCTACCTTGTTGAGTAGACGTGGGCACTTGGCACATGTTAATTTGGAATTCCCTACTGCAGAGCCAAACCTTGTGTCTTTCTAACCTGCCAGCACACCTGAGCTCTCTGAGGTGGGACATGGCCTGATGTGGTTGCTAATGGCAACGAAAAAGAATGTGTGTGCACTGGTGTGTACGGTGAATGTATTTATGTGGGTGTGAATGCGAATGAGTATGCGTTTTGGGCTGGATGTGTGTGTCCCTGTGTACCTCTGCTTCAGTCATTAATTTGTAGCTGCTCTGTCGCTGCCGTATTTCAGGTAAACCAGCAAGCAGGAGAATACTTGCTGGCACAGCCTTGGGCTAACTACCTCTATAGTTACCTTCGTATCATCCTCCTTTGTCTATCTGTTCGGGCGTTTGTCTTTCTGTCTCTCTGACATTCCTGTCTGTCTGGCACGGTCCCATATCTACATGTACTAACATGGAGAGATGGAGATGGCTTTGCTTCAGGCTGTTTCTATACCGTCTTTCTCTTTTTCTCTCTCTCTCTCCCACATTCAATCAGACAGAGTTGTGGTCTACCTCAAATTCTTTTTTTGATTTCTATTCATTCAGTAAACCTGTCTATCTTCTATATATGTGTGTTCCTGTTATTCTCCCATTCTTTCTCTATCTCGGGAAATTGCAGTTGTCATTGGCCCAGGCTTAGTATAAACTCGTTTTCTCTCCTTGTGTGTCTTTGCCTCATCCCCTCTCTAGCTGCTTTTCATGATAAAAGATAGCAGAGTAGTTGCCTTTCCTCCTATGTTTTCTATCACCAGGGACTAAAACAACAAGTTACAATGTGTATGTGTGGGTGTGCATTCATATGTGTACACTAATTGTGTAACTACTTAAGTATTTTCAAGTATGTTTCTGGCCTTGTGTGTGATTGTGTTGTTATCTTCTACTCCCTTTGTGTGTGTACATGTGCATGTTTAATTGTGTGTATTCTGCCTTGGGTAATGCAACAGCAGTAGGTTGTCGTGGCACTGTAGATTGCAGAGCTGTATTAATGGTGCCCTTTTAACTCACACAAACATACAACACACACCAATGCCTTCTCTTTACCAAACTGTTTTCTGATCAGCAGCGATATGCTGGCTCAGTGGGGTACCACGTGTACCATGTAATACCATGATGAGTTCAAATCTGTTGAAAAGCAGCCTTTTCCCCTGCTTCCTGTTTTCTCCCCTGTTCCCCACCACTGAAAACGATATAAAAATAACACAGAGAGACAGTTCTCTCTTGTGCATTTAACAATGTTTTTTTCTTTGAACACTATAGGGAGATCCTTAAGAGAAAATGGCCATCAAAGTTATTCACCAACCTTGAAACTGTATAGCAGGAGCTTGGATAATTCAAGGTTGATTTAATGATTCAAGCTTTTCTTAACTGATTCTCATTTAACTCAACCTTCACACCTCAGAGTAATTTAGAGCAGAGTAGAGGAAAGCCATCTCTTATAGAGATGAACTGAAATGTTAATAGGGCTGGAAATAAGACCAAGAAATATGATACAATGAATCTGCTTGTAATTAGAGAGGTCCTAGATGCTGAACCCAAACCGAAACAAAACCAATATACCCAAACTTGATGTGCATAAATTAACTTTCAGAAAAGAGAGACCCGACAGGGATCTAAGCAAAGTCAGACCCGAGACCCAAGAGAACACCAGCACTGGCAGCAGCATCATGCTCTATTGATTAACAAGTCGCTGTTGTTGAACAGAGCAGAGATATAATATATATGTCCTGAGAACAAATGTAAATTTTTTAGATGCACCACAAGACTAATTTATAGAAATACTGAAAGTCATACTTTCTCCGTCACCAATATTCTGTAACCAACTGGGCAATAGATTGTCAAAAAATAATATTTTAATCAAACTAATATCTAATCATTTAATAGCATACATTTGTAGAGGCTATGACATAATGTGTAGATTAGAGCTGATAATGATACAGATATTCTGATCTACTCTGATATTACACATATTTACACACAGACCTAAGAGCTGTAGCTGTACAACAGTTTAATGTTTGGCCGGTCCAACTCAGGTCTCGGCTCTGAGAAACCGAATAACGCTGTAAAGACCTGCAATTGAGAGAGATGCTGTAAGAGGATAAATAAATCATCTAAAATAGAGAGAGCAAAAGCTATTAATCCACAGGAACATGGCATACCTGGTACAAGTCAGGTTGTGTTAAACAGATTCCGACTCACCATCACAATGCTGATGAATTACTCCTAAATCCTATACTTGATAGGATTTATTTTCATTATTGGGTCACCTTATGAAGTTAATTCAATGACTCATATTCTCCACTGCAGTTCAAATCTCTTTATTATTGAGAATGGTGGATGTTATGGCTGAGAGGGTTGCAGGTTTCCAACGATATCTCTGTGCAGTTGCAATTCGTAGCAACTTTGCAGTAATCCTACAATATATGGGTTTGCACGCAATCGTTGCTTTGTTCAATGTTCCATCTATGTTTCATCTGCCCAGCTGAATGTGTGTAGCCTGTAGCACTGTCATACCTGCTGTGATTTGGAGTGTGTTTTGTTTATTTGGTTTAGATAAAAACATGGTTCTGTTATGTATTTCTTACTGGATGGATACATTTTAATAGTTAATACTTAGAACCTAAATAACAAGAGGGGGAAAAAATGTAATTTTTCATCCCTTTGTCTCGTGTCCTTGTAGCGGAGTGTGGCGGTCACATAACTGGAGCAGTGTCTGGACGGATTCTGTCTCCAGGATATCCTGCTCCATATGACAACAACCTCCACTGTACCTGGACTATAGAGGCTGATACAGGCAAGACTATCAGGTAATTATGAAGCAGGATTTACACTGAAGCCACTGTGACGATGGCCTGTAGTTGTTTTTTGATTTGATTTAACATTAATTAATGGTAACTATTCAAGATTTATATATTCTAATATATCGTATACTAACAAGTTTCTGCAGAATTTCTTTGCACTGGCTAACCTTACATCTAATAGGAGCAATAATAAGTTGTAGCATTATGTACAAGAATTCCAGTACAGTATACTATAGAGGTAAAAACTCTGAGACTGTCAGGTAATGATATATTCACTAATTATAGATAAATGCTCACTGTCAAAGCTACTGCTGTGCAGGAGAGTACACCACATTAGTCATTATGCCAACATAGTGTTTCTCACATTGTGGCCACTGCTGACATTCCTCTGTGTGTGTGTGTGTGTGTGTGTGTGTGTGTGCGTGTGCGTGTGCGTGTGTGTGTGTGTGTGTGTGTGTGTGTGTGCGTGCGTGCGTGCATGCGTGCACTAGTGTGATCTGTCTGTTGTCAGTCCTGCTTAGTTAATTTTATGCTTGACATGATTTTTGGTAAAACTGCTGAATAAAGAACAGTTGTTAATGTTTGTATTGGATCTCTGATTTGCTTTGTAATTTCTGTGTTTTCTCAGCCTCCATTTCATTGTCTTTGACACTGAGGTTGGCCACGACATCCTGAGAGTTTGGGATGGTCCATCTGGGCCATCAGACGGGGGGATCCTGTTGAAAGAATGGTCTGGCCCAGCCTTACCTGAAGATATCCACTCGACTTTCAACATACTCACACTGCAGTTTGATTCTGATTATTTCATCAGCAAGCAAGGATTTTCTATACAGTTCTCCAGTAAGTAGACTTATCTGTAAATCAAAATCATTATACCTGGAATTCACCGAATGATTGAAATAGCTCAAAAATGTGCCATGATTCTACTAAGTCGTTGATTTGGGTGGTCTGCCTAGCTCTATCCCCCACATCCATTTATGAAGAAAAACCAATCATTGAATTTGCAATTAAATTAGCTAATTAACAAACTCAGCACTCATCACACATATAGTTTCTTAGTTATTATAGAAACCTCATTTATATTGGATATGAGATAATTAATCTGGAAATAATGCTGCATTTAACAGGATTTCTTAAAAACCTTTAGCCTAAGAATCAAATGAGAAATTTAACATCTCACCCTGGGACCTAGGCTCACTAAGTCCTGAAGGAGCCCACCAGAGACCTGTGGCTTAGTTTTGGTCATATGCAACAGTTTAGGAAACCAGGAGATGCAGTAACAAAACTATGAGTGCTGATTTTTCTCAGGTTAGTAAATTATTTAACAGCACGTTTCTTTGTGACACTGTTGTTGTGAAATGTATTAATAATAATAACTTGAATAATAAAAATATATGCTATAAATAATAATTGTATAGGCCAATGAAGAAAGTTATTTCTATTCATTTTAGGAGCTTCAAACTTGTAAATTGACCAACTGTAAATCTCCCTGCTACACAAACTATTGCTATTGTTTGCTTATTTTTTTAAAGAAAGGGCAAGCTGTACAATAACTCTGCCCTTTGGGTGCAGAGATGACCTTTGCTGTTTGAGCCAGTGGACCCAAAAAGGTCTGTGCGCTGTCCTTTTACAATCATTGGCCAAAGTCACTCCGATCCACTGTAGCAGCAAAATCAATCAGAGGCACACTGAGTACGGAAAGTTAGGAAGTGGAAGAACTGACAGTCAAGACCGTCTTACCTTTGCAGCTACTTATTCACATCAGTGCATCCACAAACACAGACACGCACAAATTGCACACACACATACACAAACACACACACACACACACACACACAAACACACACACACACTTTCTCATCCTTGTTCATCTTTAAATAGCAATTTATTACTAACTTCCCTAGCAAGGACCACACCACAACAATATTTCATTTTAAGTTTTAATAGAAATTCAGGAGGTTTTTATGTTAAAGATAGATGAATGGATGTGGGGAGGAAAAGGTGGAAGATGATGTCATCTGTTAGGTTGGTCTGGATGGACGTGTCGAAGGCTTAGCAGAAAGAGACTCTGAGTGGGGGTCCCGTATCTGGCGTGTATATATAATATAATATAATATATATATATATATATATATATATATATATATATATATATATATATATAAACACTTTACAGTTACCCATTTAATTTGAGTTAATCCAAACTAAATAAAAAAGAATGAATATAAACTAAAACTAAAAGTTTGAGTTGATTAAATTAACTACATTTTACGTATCCATCATATATAATTGAGTATTATCACCTGCACTATGAATTAATTGATTTTAATTTATTCCATGCAGTAAATTGAATCTAAATGTTTTTTTCTTTCTTAGGAATAACAAACACAATAACAAACCAAGACTCTTTATTTTAAATGTTGCCAACAACCGAACTCCAGTTCCGGATCACAGAAATTGCCACTATGAGCTGTTTCAGTTCTCAGTATCCTCAGACATGAGATTGGAATCAGTGCCACAGTATAAAATTGTCAGGAAATATTGTAGGCATCACTAGATTAAACATTTTAATAATGGAGCTCTGCGTCAGCCATGTCGAAGAATGAATCACAAATTAAAGCATCATTTTAGTTTATTATTATTTTATTTTAAAGTTTATTTAGTGCCCTTATTCACTGTTACAGCTCAAAGGGCTTACAAGCCCACAGTTCATAGTGAACAAACCAATACTCCCTGGTCTGAACCATCACGTGCCACCAAAAGATCATCAAGGCACCTTGTCATAAATTCTCAGAGTCTCTGAACTCTTCTTCCAAAAGATATTCCCTTATTTGGTGTTTTGATGATGCAGTGAAGATGAGTCTAAGTCCAAAATCTCCCACAGGTGTGAATTTATGATGCCCTGCTCTATTATCCTTCTCTATGTACAGTATCTTGTGGACGAATGGTGCTCATCCCTCCTTGAGATTTAAAGCATCTATGATAAGGAGCACTGAAGCTGTTCTTTTGGGCCATGGCAAGGCAACACACACTAAACAAACAAACAAAAACAATGCCATACACTTCTACTATCTATCTACTTGACAACAACATCTAATCAAGGAATTACACTCCCTGAATTATTTTAATGCAAATTAAGTTCACCTACATTAAACTGAAATGAAGATGTTCACTGTGTTCTAAAAGTCAGTGAATAACAACCTCCCTGGTCCTCTCAATGAAAGAGCACACCAAGTCCTGCAGATGAATGTAACAATATACACTGATCAGCCATAACATTATGACCACCTGGGAACCCTGATCCAGGCATTTAGCCATCACAATTTGGCCCTTGTCAAAGTTGCTCAAATCCTCACGCTACCCATTCTCCCTGCTTCTAACACATCAACTTTGAGGATAAAATTTCACTTGCTGCCTAATGTATCCAACCCATTGACATATTTAAAGAAAAGTTTCCGGGACAAAAAAAGTTTCCTTACCTTAGTCAACAGCAAAATTCGATTTTTACTTAAATAATTGCCACAAAACCAATGATAGAATTATATTGAATACATTTTAGCTTATTCATTATTTAAAATCCACATGACCATAGAATCATTTATTTCAGTGTAAGGGATGAGGGGAGGAGGGGAGAAAGGATCAAGGAAAGGGAAAGAGAGGGTGATTCAAGAAAACAGAAACAAACAGGGCCGGAAGGAGTTGACCAGGTATAAGTAGTTTGTCAGGTGTGGTTGAGTAATCTATCTAATTCAATAACTTAAATAAACTTCATATAATTCTTATGTGCATATGGATATTTACAGTCATAAATATTTACATCCAGTGCTTTCAGTCCCTCACTCACACTCACTCTCTATCTCTCTCACACATTTAGTTTTTTTCCATTCTCCCCATATTTAAAACAATAAATATTTGCACTCGCAAACATGCTAATCACTGTTATCCCATTACTATGGTAATGACTCCTTATGTTTACCTCCATGTTGATTTACTAAAGCAAAGGTAATGGTATTTACCACCGCACTCTTTTTTTAGTGGTGATGTAATTACAAACACCTTTCTTTTGTATTTTTTTCCCTCTCATTTTGTCCTCTCTGTGTCCCTCCCTGTCCACTAAACTGATGAAATAAATACTGTTTTCTAAAGATAAGATATAATAAATGTGATTGTTATAATATAATACTATGTTTGGTCGTACACCAGCTGTTGAAATATTTGTGCGAAAGATCATTTATATCTTCCGTGTGGGTTGTAATTTATAAGGACGGCTTCCTAGCACTCATGTCCTACTATTACTTTGGCCAGGGCTCTGGCAAAGATTTGATCTATAATTTTCACAGAATCCGAAGCTTCATGACTAATTGCTGAGTCTACTGCATAATGAGGATTCAAGCATTCTTTGGCAGATGACGTTAAAAAGAAGCAATCACTGTTGACCCATCATCAACAGTTGCATATATCTATGAGTTTTAAGCAAGAACAGTAGGCCAAAAATGAAAACTGAACTAAAAAGGGCAAAGATTAGAGGAGCTGGAAAAATACATTTTATTTTGAGCAGCAATTTATTCTTTGCTGTCTTTTTTTATCTCACAACCCACTTTGATTTATTTTGTGATCCCTTGAGACGTCCTGACCTCTAGGTTGGGAACCACTGATTTAGAAGACAGATAGGATATACCCATATATTGCTCACCTTCTAGAAACCACTGGAAAATGCCAAAAATGACAATACACAATATACATTTGGACAAATAGTATGCAGTATTTTCATTATTCCATAAGCCTGGAAGGAATCATGCATTTGGTTGTGTGTGTCCCATCAATCAATATTTTTTGTGCACATTTATGTCTGTATGCTCAAGGAATTGTTCATCTCATGGTTGCGGTGATTCACAATTTCGGAAAAACCTATTTCCCTGACTGCTCTGTTTTATATCGCCATTGACTGCTGACCTAGCCTGTCCACTCTGGTTACACTTGATAATGTAACCTGCACATTGTCTCCCCTTCATTTTACTAGTCTGTTGCATACACGCTGGACGCACTACCTGCCCTGCACTCCCTGTTACCCACCCACATGCCCCAGACACACTTGGTGGAGATCACAGAATCAAGAAACTTTATTTATCATTATACAACACAGGGCTGTAAAACAACATGAAAATAAAATGGAATAAACACAATTGCAAACCCAGTAGCTGAAACACAACACACACAGAGGCTAATTGTAATTGAATTCCTTCCAAGCACACTGTTTAGCCTGAAGGGGGAGCCACTAATTAAAAAGACAGCGGCCAGGGCGAATTTGATTGAACATGGAGGGATGATCCATTTAGTTACTAACTGGTCAGGTTGAGTATGAGCATTTTCACATGTATCTCCAGCTGCCTTTTAATAATAAATAGAATCATTTTGCCAATCATTGTCAATAAGATGACAGCAATCCCCATTAACGCTTGCGGATGTCATCGATGCTAGAACGTGTTGTGTTTTTGTGGGCGTCTGTCTCTGGCTGTCTCTCTAACAGTATGTTAATATCTGTCTCTCTTTGTCTGTCTCACTCTCTCAAGCCACTACAGCAACAACCTGCAATGACCCAGGCATCCCTGTGAATGGTTCTCGGTATGGGGACAGTAAGGAGCCTGGTGACAGTATGACGTTCCAGTGTGATCCAGGCTACCAGCTGCAGGGCGAGGACACCATCACATGTGTACGGATGGATAACAGATTCTACTGGCAACCTGACCCTCCAACATGTATAGGTAGGTGTACATTACTCTGTGGATCTGATGCTGTGGTCAGACACTTAAATGTCATACTGCACACTAAAAAAAATTGAAAAAGGAAATAAAAAAACACACCAACACTTACACCAACAATACGTCAAACAAATGGAAGACTGAGCACAAAACCGGTGGAGGTGGAATAATCCAGAGTTGCATTGAAAGTGTAGAGCATAAACAACAAACATGACAGTTCAAGTCCCTTAGGTGTGCATTTGTGCCACATCTGATATACTTCTCTGGAGGCAAATCAACTGGAGTTTGCTGTTGAGGTGGTCGCTACTCCCAGATGGTGCTGCTGCTTGGAGCATCAGCTGCTTTTCCATACTGGAGGCACGTTCCATAAGGTCAAGGAGAAGTTGAACATGTGCTGAAGAAACTGTAGTGAAGCATCGAGCACTGTTGCTGTTGCACAGGGAGATTCAGCATGGATCACCTACACCTCCTAAACTCCTCCTAAAGATGGGGCTGACAGGAGAAGAGGGGTATAAAAGAAGCAAGATCAGATCTGTATCATCCAAATTGTTGGAAAACCAGAGCTTGTTGGCTCTTTTTCTCTTTTTTCACCACCATAAGGCCCACCTGCTGCTTATAGCCCAGAGAGCTTCCACAGCCCACTCCACACCTCATTCACACTATTCTGCTGCAGTTTGTTTTTCACTCTCCCACTTTCAGGTGTGCTTTCCTCCTTTATTTTCCTCCTCAGCTCCTTCTGACACACTTGACTCACTCACTAAAGGAAGGGAGTGACTTAGAGCCTTGAAGCCTCTATTTCTTTGGTCAGAAAATGCAGGAATAGCAGAGTCAGTGCAAAAGAAGGTACAAACTGTAATGCAGCAAGAGCCCTTCAGTGTCCTCACTGTGCAACCTACAAATCTCAGTATGTTAGAGCAGAACAAGCCTGCAGCACATCCACAAATTTGTGTGACCAGCTGTTTGTAGGCCGCTGCTGAACTACATGCCTTGTTTTTTAAAAGTTATTTTTCCCGCTTTACTGCGGCGTCCATTTTTAATTATGCAAACACCAGGATGCGGTATGACATCAGACACAGCTGAAGGTGGGATGTAAACAATGGGAGCAAACCAGAGCAGCAACCCAGAGCAGCAAGTAGCAGATATTTGCCTTTCTGTTAGATGCCACAGCCTCGCTTTATGTTGCTACCTCCTTCTCTTTATCAGCCAGCACTATCGGGAAGTCCTCCAGCACGGTCACAGAGACCAGTAATTTGCCTTGTAACCATGCCTGTGAAACACATTATGCTTTGTTCCTGATAATGCTTCTGACTCTTTGCCAGTGACCTCACGTTTTGCACGACTGTAGATAAAATGTAGGGCTTTAATTCTCCCTCTGTTTTCTCTAAGCTTTGCCTGTGTGTGCTTCGCTCCCCTGCACTTTCACCCCGGGTGGTGAATCCTTGGGGGTTGAAAAGCTCCTAAGATGTAACCAACATTATGTACAATAGTCTAGTGTGTGTGTGTTTGTGTGTGTGTGTGTGTGTGTGTGTGTCTGTGAGTGATTTGAAACTGTTAATGCCTTTGTTTACATCTATTTCACTGTTGATAATCCGTTCACACCCACCTGCCACCCCCAAGACACCTCTCCATGTTTCACATTCTTCCTTTTACATCACCAAATTGCTGCTTGAATGCATCTGTCTCTCTTGCCAATATCTCTTTCCTCTTCTCTGCCTTGTTGTGGAATAACAGGACCGCCAGGGGTAATTCTCTCTGCTAACTACCCCCAGACACTCCGTAACCAAATCTCAGAGTCTCTCTCTATCTCTCTTTTGCTCTTTCACCCTCTCCAGCTACCTCTGGAGCTATCTCCGGAGAGGGTCAAAGGGCAATATCAATGGTCTACCAGGGGTAATTCTCCTGACCCCTGCCATACTTCCCATCACTAACTAACTCTCTTCCACTCTGCCTACCTGTGGGGGTAAAATGAGTGGTCAATGAGGGGTGATTTTCCTTCAAAATTACACCAAGCCCAATGCTGTATAATCATCTTTCTCTCTCTCCTTCTCTCTCTCTCTCTCTCTCTCTCTCTCTCACTGTTTGTCTGTGTCCAGCGACATGTGGGGGTAACGTCAGCGGCCCCTCTGGTGTAATTCTGTCTCCTAACTACCCCCAGCCCTACCCCCCTGGGAAAGAGTGTGATTGGAGAGTCAGAGTCAATCCTGACTTTGTCATTGCTCTCATCTTCAAAAGGTAAGCTACCTAACATAAAACATGGTTCTTTATTATGTGGGCACGACCACTTGTATAGCCTATACTACAGTATGCCCCTTTGTCATATATATTGTCAAGCTTTAAAACAGGAGTGGAGCTTTTTGTGTGCCTGTAAAAACACTGCTGCCTCTCAGCTGGTATTTCTGACATTTTGACTAAATGGATTAAAGATTTTTTTTTTTCTCTCTTTAAAATGGTCAAAATAAGCCAGCATAGTTTCCTGTGGGAGTTGGGACTTTCCTCATGTATTTACTGTATAAAAGGGTGCCTGTGTTATTTTGGTGGAGGACTTAACTTCAATTTGAGGGCAACACTAAGAGTGTACGTCTAACATAAATCGAAATAAACTGTCAGCTTAATGAAAAACCACTGTTAAATTGCACTCACGCTAGAGAACATACTGTGTCAGTGTCATTATGTTACCATAATAAGAGTAGGTCACTGTATGCTCATTATGTAACAATAATATCACATTTTAAAATAGGCTGATTGAAAATGTGATTTTTTTTTTCAAAGAAAATACAAATTCCCTGTGTCACTCAATGGTAACATACAGTTTAAACTATATTTATGTTTTTGTTGTTTTGGAGTGTTACTAACAGATCATAAAGGTCTCACTGATGATGATATTAATTTTTAAATTTAGTTTTAGTTTATCCAAATACCTGAGAACACATTTCAAATAACAAAGATTTAAAGGGTGGATGGGGTCCCCAAAACACAATTAAATTTATTTAATCTTAAATGTATCACCCTCCATGGACTTTGTTCATGAGTTAATTTTTAAGTATAGACTTTGCATGACTCACTGTGGCCCACACAAAAAAGGTCTGTGCTGCATAGTCAGGGATCAAGTCCAATTTAGTCTGATGTTAATTAACACACAGTTAAGGATCCTTAAGGTAACTAATAAACCCATTTCAGTGGGGAAAGCCTCTGAAAGACATCCCATTAGTCTAAAACACTACAGTAAAATCCACTTCTAACACATAAAGCAGCTTAGTTTGTGGTTAGCTGGTTTTATCTTTAAAAGCATCAGAAAATTTTAATTAGAATTGTTCTTGACTTCTTTCTATCAGCCATTTTTATTTTATTTTGTCAATCATTTTGATCGTATTGGTAATTTCCCATGCATTCTTGAAGATAAACAGTAAATAGATTTGTTCAGGGACGTTTTGGTTGGCAGACACTATTCTTGCCTTGATTTGGAAAGCGAAATTCATGAGTAAATGAAAGGGCTTTCTGACCATTTCCTTGTTTTGTTTTTTGGTTATAGGGCAGTGTGTATTTACATGTCAAGTCCTGATTGTGCCTCGGTGGAGAATATTTTACAAGTCACAGTGGTTAGGGGTTTATGACTGAAGCAAAAGTGAAGATTGGAGTTTCACATGTAGCAAAGGAGATAAAAGCAAAGCAGACTTTCTCCAGATTGCCAAAGGAGAAAAAATGACCCAATTTTGATTTCATGTTTTTCAGCTGGAGAGATAATTCCCTCTGTTGTAACAGTGAGACAGTTTTATTTTACTTTTAATTACGTAGTATTGATATTGGTTGTTAGGTGAATGTTGTGTGTCATTATTTATCTAATTTTAACCTTATTAACTGTGTTTTATAAACACAGCTGAAACAGACTTCTATTGACCTAATTACAATTCTTGTTTCTCCAAGAAGTCAGAACTCATTATCGTATAATATACCTATAAATGTACTGTCTACTTACAGTCAATGGAAAAGCTTTGTCTTGTAACCGACTGTTTTATGGCTGTATTTTTCAAGATGTATAATTCATTACTAACCAAACTAAAATATACCTTCCAAAGTTTGCATTATTGTTCTTAATCTGCATTCAAATCTTAACTCTTAACAGACCCTTGTGTTACTCTTGTTCAGTCATAAGAGGTTATGATGCTGTCCCATTTCTGCTCAGTGAGATCTTTATGTTCCTTTAATGACATTTAGTAGTTTCAGCATTCAGACCCAGAATGTATCACTAATGCAAAAGGTATTAGCACGGATCATTTTAATGCTTTGTCAGTGCAAAAGGGGCTTATGTGCAGTTAAGCCCATTTTGCACCAGATATAAACACAGGGCTTAAACTTCACACTTCTTCACACTTATTTTGACTTTGGTAATAATTATATCAGTTTTTATTTCAAGTCCTCTCCCATAATTAAAATTTTTAATGGGCCAAATGTCACTCGTCACACTTCTTTTGCTCAAAATCAGAAATTCATGATTATCTGAAATTGGTGTCTTAAAATAAAGGGAAAAGTAGGGGATACATGAGACAATGATTAACATGATAATGAACATTTTAATTAAAACAACACATTTCCTAATGTATACAATGTTTGGAAAGATGCTCTTTGCAGAACTGTGCATTACCTTGTGCTTGTGGCATGAATGCACAATCCTTACATTAGGGATGTAACGATACACACAACTCACCATATGATCCAATTAAAAATACTGGATTCATACAGTCTGATTTTTTTTGTAACTCTTTTAACAAAATGAGAGACAAATTATGACTTAAAAAGATTCCTTTATTTCTCTGACTAAAGTCTACAAAATATATTTTCTCTTATATTTTCTTTATCAAAATAAAGTTAGAATTAAATTCCTTTTTTATCTCTGAGGTGGCGTATAAACTGTGCAAAACAATGCATAATTCCTTTTCTTTGTAAAAGTGAAACTTAAAGTATAGCCCTGTCAACAAAGTCAAAAGTAGATAGCCTGCTCTGCTGTTTAAAAAGAGTATCATGATTAATTTTTCAACTCAATGATTTGAATCTCCACATATTTGTATTGTAATTTAACTGTCTCACAATATATTGTTCCATCTCTACCTTGGATACATACTGACACAATACAGGTAATCGCTCATCTAAATGTTGCTCTACTGCACCCCTGCTGCTCATAGACTCCACGAGGTACCTTTATGAAAGTGATCAGTACATGTCCTCTTCCCTCTCTTCCTCTCTGTCTTTCTTTGCTCTGACAGAACACACAAACACAAGCACGCACAGTTGAGTCCTGTGATTTTCAACAAAACACTGAACAGGATGGTTAAACCAGACAGGAGGCAGACTAAGCTAAAATACACACACACACACACACACACACACACACACACACACACACACACATACACACACTTTGAAAGCATTAAGTGAATATACACAAATTTGTCAGTGTGACAGGTGGGAAACAGGGCTAACACAACCACTGTCAGAGCAAACACTGAGACCTTGTGTGTGTGTGTGTGTGTGTGTGTGTGTGTGTGTGTGTGTGTGGTTGTGTGTGTGTGTGTTCTTTATACTTTTACCCTTGTGAGGACCAGATGTCTTCACGTATGTGTAGAGATGAGGAGAAGCTGTCAAAGTGAAAACCAGCTAAACTTTTACACAAAAACAATCATATGGAGCTACTGTAGGCTTAGACTCAGGGGACATATTTGTGTTAAGTTTACACACAAACATATGCACACACATACTAAGGATATACAAATCAAAATAGATCACCACATGCTCCATCACGATGAGACAACAGTTTTACTTTTCTAATGAATTTCAATGAAATGTCAGAGTTTTTAACTACATATTGCTGTCTTAAATTCAAGAAGAAAGAAAAAACAAAGTTTTCATTTATAATGCAGTAAACACACCCAAAAAACATGTCAGACTCGTCAAAATAAGCAGACGATTAAAAGAGAGATAGCTAAACTAATTTGCAGTTATTAAATAAAGCAGGTATTTGAATTCAACACACATCACTGGATTCCTTTTTAGGAGAATTTGAACAGGAACACACACACAGAAACAACTGATACAATCAATCTCACTAGATTCTCAAACCTAAATTTCTCTATTTCTTTCTTTCTCTTTCTTTTTTTTATCCCAGTTTCAACATGGAGCCAAGCTACGACTTCCTGCACATCTACGAGGGTGAAGATTCTAATGGGCCGTTACTAGCAAGTCTCCAAGGCAACCAGGCCCCAGAGCGAATAGAGAGCAGTGGTAACAGTCTCTTCTTGGCATTCAGATCTGACGCCTCACTGGGCATGTCTGGATTTGCTATCGAATATAGAGGTAATTAAACACCAAAACTTTGCCTTAGCATAATGCCCTGTATATTTTCCTCCAAGGTCACATTTAAGGTCGTGGAATTTTTCTTAGATAGTGACCAAATGTTTTAAAACTAATCTGCAGACCATTGATTAGCTTATTATTATTTTAGCCAGTGTTTTGCAAGGGGTTTCTCTCTCCACTTTCCATAAACATTTTTTTGCAAACGATAGAAAGAGACATATTAATAACAGCTAATTATTTATTCCACTTGATTTTATAAATCCACGCAATTACAGTTTTTTCTCAGGTGGCCAAAGTAATTGTTTTGCAATCAAGATCACTACGTTATTATTCCTTTTCTGAGCTTAGTGATCTGATACACAGTCCAACTGCTGAACTATGCCTGTGAGGGCTCCTTTACTTGCATGCTGTGTCTTGAAGGGCAGTACCAGGCTCAGTCCAGGCGCTGACTGCGTAATGAGCTGCTGTCTCAGTAAATCAGCCGCTGAATACGCGCAGATTGTTTCAATTAAAAGGCGCAGCGGCATTTTCTTAGCAAATCTGGCCCTGTATTCGATAAAATACCTGGAATGGGTTATCTGTACACTAAATTAAAAAACAATGATTGTCATTATTATTATTCTGTATTTATGAAGTGTGATGATTAAAATGTTGATACAGGAATGTTTATTTTGCAAGCTGGATCATATTTTAAGCTGTCTACTTTATTAATTTCACCCTTACTGTACTGAAGCGTTTTCAGTTGAAAGGGCATGCTGTTCCATGTCAGCCCATGAGTTGTTTGCTTCCACAGATTGTGACTCATCTTGGTTTTACAGATGTTGCTTGACTGGGGGTGATCTAACAGCTAGAGTCAATGTGGAACTGATGATTAGTTGTTCGACTGACTAGAGACTAAATCTGCTTTGTCAAGTTTTATAAATACTTTTTTCTCTTGTTTCTCTCACTCCATTTATCTCTAATTAAAAAAAGATTATCTCCTTCTCTGTTGTATGTCTCCTCACGCTACCTCACACCTCTGTACTTTTGTCATTAATTCACTACCTTTCATCTGCCATCTCTCTAATTAAAATACAACCTTAATCATCTCCCTGTTTCACTTCCATTTTGCCCTCCACCTTTCTCTCTCTCTCTGTCTGTCGGTTTCCCTCTGTCGAGCCCAATATCTCATTCTTATTGGGTGATCACAGAAAAGCAAACAAGCTGGCGCAACGCCAAGTCATAAAGATCCAAGACAGTTTGTGACCATGGTCACCTCCTCGTCTTTTACTCCTTCATTTCTTTCGTCTTCTTTCACTGGACTCCTCTTATACCCTCATTATATTCAGTATAGATTATATTAGGCCTCAACAGATAGCAGCCAATTTGGGCCAAAATTACAACCAAAATAGTTTGCCCCTTAATGCAATTTGAATTTTCCTTTATTGAGCTAAATATATGATTTAAGCCTGTTTTAGAGCAGTGTGCTATAACTGTTCTCTCTCAGAAATGACATGAATTTACATTCACTGCTACCATAGAAACAATATCATTTCAGTGCATTTTCCTTCATCTCGTGTCTGGTGCTGATATGAGATCTAATTAACTTACCAGATGTCTTTGTCCAGTAACACAAACTCTCACCATTCTTCACAGAAAAACCAAGAGAGGCCTGTTTTGACCCTGGTAACATTATGAACGCCAGTCGGACAGGTTATGACTATAAACTGGGATCTCAGGTCTCCTACAACTGCCACCATGGCTACACGACAGTGGGTGGGGATACCATCACCTGTGTCATGGGGCATGATGGGAAGCCGGTGTGGGACAAGGCTCTGCCAACATGTAAAGGTAAGAGAGACACTTTAAGAACTACACTCTTACAAAGATAGTGTACCATGATGGTGGAAAGCTCATGTGGGACAAAACCTGCTTATGTAACAATTAACAATTAAAAAACATTTAAATGCAGCATCTTCAATCTGATTCCTGCTGGGGACCTTTGTTGCATGTCATACTCCTCCCCTTCTTCCCTTATTGCCTGTGTGTCTCTATATTGTTGGTTATTTAATAATGGTGAAAAAAAACAAAATGCAATTTTGGTTAGAATGGAACTTAGTAGCAATAAAAAAATAAATAAATGATGATTGATTTGTGATTGGTAGTGTGTGTGTGTGTGTGTGTGTGTGTGTGTGTGTGTGCGCGCACATCCGAAACAAAGAGTCTGTCAGGGATTGGAAGGCTGAACTGTCTAATTGATTGACAGCTCAGAGAGCCAAGAAAGTGACACCTGCCATTCTACTATTCTGCCCTTCAGAGTGTATATGTGATTTTGTCTGTGTGTGTAGGTGTGTGAGTGTGTGTGTGTGTGTGTGTGATCTCTAAAGTGACAAAGACCTGGTCTGGTGCCATGTGGGTAAAAAATTCAAATAAGCCACAGAGCAAGGTGGCAGGACAAGGAAGGAATTTTAAAATGAGCACAAAAGAGACAAAAGACACACACACACACACACACACACAGACGATACACACTTACTTATACCTCTTAACACTTTGAAAAAGGCTGCTATGAAAGCTCTGCTTAATAATGTCTGAGACAGTGAAGGGGGGAGATGAAGATGAGATAATTGCACTCAGAGTAGCTATTTGAGAACAGCAACGAATAACAGACAGCAAGAAAAAAAGCTCATCAAGTCATTTTATCTCATGTTCCCTTTCATCTAGTTTATTTCAAGATAATACCGCCACTTATCAACTTTAGATGTGAGTTACTTAATCAACCTAAAATCTGGAAATTTCTCTATGACACTTATTTGTGCGGCTGTGGTTTTAAACACATACACATACATGACAGCGGTGAGCGATATCGTTGGGATCCCTTTCAGAGCGAATTGATGAACAGTATTGTGGTATACAATCTCTTAACTATATAATATAATATTAGGCCGCAAAAGTACATAGCGTATTTTAACAAATTTTGGTTTTCCTTCTGATATCCTCCGGCTTTCAATGACTCACGGATTGGATGGCATTGGATGGAATTGGAACAGATTGGTTTTTCCTGAAATATAGCCTCAGTTACTTCTTGTTAGTGGTCGCTCACCAGCTGCAGCGAGCACCTAACTTATCTGTCCTCAGGTCATTAGGTGATTCTGCCTGGACTGGGAGCTGGGAGGAAAGTAATTTTCAGTTCTCTTATTAATGCACACAGTGGTCAGCTTTTTTATTTTATTGTTGCTTTGGGAGAAAACAAATGTATCGAGTTACTAGTACTCCCTACCACCAGAGGGCAGCAAAGACTAGTGTTCCTACCTGTACACTACAATTACAGGTACGCTACACTGGTGTTTAACGTTACAGTTTTAGTACAGGAGTTTTGGACCACCGGAAGTGCCAGTACCTCAAACTCCATATTCCTTCAGCAGCAGTTAGCAGTTAGCTAAGAGCTACAAGTAAATGTTCATCTGTAAACTCCGTAAATCCCCGAGAGTAGAGGCCACATAATCGTAGGTTTAGTCCTGACTCCCGACCAGAGCAGTCTTACTACTTACTTACGATACAATTACTGATTACCTGTTAAAAACTACCTAATTCAAGTACGTCAATATTAAAGTAACATATCTGGATTACTTTCCGTTATTTTTGGATTACCTCTACACCAAATATGCAAATAAAGACAAAAGAAAAGAAATGTTAGTGTATTCTATCAGACAGCATTAGTGTGTATGCTAACATCGTTATTGTCAAGTATCATAAGTTATTGTGTGGACGGCCCTTAACACTTCCATCTGATCAGGTAGCTAGTCAGTGAGTCAGTCATTGAGACCATAATTTAACCAATCAGACAGTTGTTTGGTCGACCCATTAACCTTACTTGCTCAGTGAATAAATTGCTTGCAACAGTTCATGGAGGGGCTAAATTAAGCTTTTCCAGTGTTTGGTAAGACTAACAAATCTTCTTTGTGGTAATATAAAGAAATTGTGTGGCAAAATAGGAGTGGCTGAAATTGATTCAGTAATATTTAGATGCTTTCCCCCACAATAATGTATTTATGAACAGAGGCCAAGTATTGACATTTTAATCACATTTGCAGGCTATTAATGGAAGACCACATAATGGTCCTCTATCAGATAAAAAATGATCTGAACCTCTGAAAGGCCTTGAACTTCATCTGGTCATTGATTCATGTCTTTTTACTGTAATTGATTTTTGTGTATATGATACATTTCATAATTTGTCCAAAAAAACTTTTATTTACACATTTTTTTAGAGTCTGTATTATAGATGGTATATTAGAAGTTCTGCTCTTCATTGGAGTTCCTCTGTTTCCTCACAGTAACACAGACTTGAGTTTGGTTCGTGGTTCTTTCTGTGTCCCAGATACATGGATTGATCTGTCCTGATTGCTGGTAACTACACTGTAGGACAGTTCATGTAATCAAAGCAGAAGAATTTAGCTAAATCCAGTCCTACCCTGTAATCTTGCTCTTTTCCTTCCCTTAGCTCATATTGCCCATTGAATTTTCTCACCACATAGTTAGGGAAGTTTCTCTGTCTGTCTCTCTATCTTTGGGCAGCTCCTGGGGCTTTTAGACCAAACTCATTAGACAGGGTGAGACCTCTTTAAATAATACATCTCCACTTACACTCCCTCTGTCTCCTCTCTTCTACCCTTTCATCCCCTTCTCACACTTTCCTCTTTCTCCTCCTTCTATTTCCTTTTCTCTGTAACTACTTCTCTCTCTCTCTCTCTCTCTCTCTCTCTCTCTCTGTGTCTCTCTCTCTTTCTCTCTCTCCCTCTTTTTCTTCCTCTCTCTCTTATTCTACCTTCCTCCCACCTCCCCTGTCTGTGTCTGATTTACTCTATATTTTTCTCTCACCATTTCTCTCTGGCTCTCTTTCCCCTTCTTGCACTCTCTCTCTCCCTCTCTCTCTCTCTCTCAGACACACACACACACACACACACACACACACACACACACACACACCTCTCTTCTTAAACCGCTCTTTTATTGGTTTCCATGGTAACTAAGAGCTGGTGCGAGGAAGAAAGAATTCTCTGTGACTGTTGATAGAGTTGCGCGTTTGTGTGTGTGCGTGTGTGTGTGCAAGAGAGGGAGAAAGACACAGAGAGGTAAAGTGAGAGAGAGACGTAGCTATTACAGAGTGCCGCCTAGAGGCTGTATTCACGTACACACACTTCTCACACACACACACACACACACACACACCAAAAAGGATACCACGTATGCTTATACATGCAAACACACTAAATCTTTTAACACACTATATATGTTTGAATAACGTTAAAGTGATTTTTTTTTCCGCTGTACACATAATAGAGGTGATTTCTCCAACAAAACTTATTATATTAGCGCATATGTGTCTGCTTGGATTTGAAAGTTTGGTTCAGCCGAATTCAATCGGCCCTCCCTACCTGTGACAAAATAGTCAAGACTCCAAGGTCTATTACCCATGTCAGCTGCCATGCCAAGTATAAGTAGCAGAACAATGACATCATACATGAACAAGATGTATTTCTCTGCAGTGGCATTAAACGCCACACATGAGCCAACTAATAAATATGCAATATTCAGAGCTGAACAAGATATTTAGGGCTGACCAACAGTCATTTTAACCGCAGTAAACAGCATGGTTACGGCTGTGTATTGACACTGACCACAGACACACATACACTGGGGACCCTCTTATAGTAGAGCTGTGAGCTCAGCTACAACACAGTGACTCTCTCAAAGGCCATAAATATGCCTTTATATTGTTTTCTTAAATAAGATTATATTATCAATTGACCAGACTAAACTCACCTCTTTACCTTCCAACTTCACAGAAACAAATACTCACAGACTTATCGATATCATGGATGATGTATGACGTTATATACAAATCAACTAGCTACAAACTCGCTCCTCTCCCGCTGCATGCCTCTTCTGTCCTTACCTGAACATGCCATATCTTCATCGTTCTCGGAGTCATACTCACGAGTGGCCTTGGTCTTGGTCAGTGGGAGACTGCTGAGCCTCTGTTGCCCCCTCGGCTGTCTCTGGCTCTGGTCCTGGCAGCATTCCCTTTCCCTGGGCCTGAAAACCTAAAGCTTGAAGCTATAATTCCTAATTTACGATCACCGGAAACACGGGAGGGGGACAATGACTTGTGCTGGAGTTTGGTGATTGGACGAATATATCGGCCGTCGGTGATTGGCCAGTCCATTGCTGTTTTTTTTTTTGTTTTTTTTAAATGAATGAGAGTAAAACACAGCTGTAAGGCCAAGGTATTTTCACATCTAACTGTGGTGAATTAAGAGTTTATTTTGACTAGTTTGATGACAGGGAATACAGCTACAAGGTGATTTACAGAGGCTGCAACAAGATTCTTAACTCCAGAGAAGCATGAAGCGGGTAGATGAGCAAAGAAGGTCAGGGGCATCATAGAGTCAGTAACAGCACGTATAGCCAGAATATTTTTTTACTTATAACTCTGTTAGATGGTTAGACACCAGAGTTGGTCATTGTTGGAGCAGTGGAAAGACTAATAATACCCATCTCCCAGCTACGACTACTGGGGCTGGGTTTGCAGGGGTTTGTGGGAGTGCTGTCACAGCCTCCATGCATGCACGAATATGGGCATGGCTAGGTGTTACGTCATCATATCCAAAAAGCCACTTCCGTGTCCATTCGCTAATATTCTAACAGTTCAATAACGGTAAAATGGTGCAGTACGACGGAGTATTAGGGCCATACTAAGAGAAAAAAATAAATCTTTTTGGTGGAAGTTATGAGAATAAAGTCATAACTGCTTAACGACAAAATTATGAATACGTTAGCTTACCTGT